TGCTGTTGCTGCCATGCTTTGATTTCGCAGAGCTGCAAAAATGTCGCAATACAATAATGAAAAAGCAAGGAAAAATCATGTTGGCATGCGGCATGGAGTGCTGTTGCGATTGGGTCTTGGATTTTCGCAAGGCAACATTTTTTAGCCAGAGATTTTATTGACTGAAGAGGCCGCAAAAGATGAGGCAGGCTGACTTTTGGTGAAGAGGAGGCGCCTGCGTGCACGATACACGCTGCGGTGCCACTAGTGTGTGTGTGTGTGTGTGTGTGTGTGTTGTTGCATGTTTGCTGCTGCTGCTCCCGAGCGAGTCATGACATGTTCGAGGAGCAGGAAGTCGTTTTGCGTTTGCCTTGGCCACATTTATGAGTTACGCTTCGGACGTACATATGTGCGAGTAGTGTGTTGCAAGCACATGGCTGCCACATGCAATGTGCCACTTGTTGAGCCTCAGCCACAAGGATAACACTATGCACTTTGCTGCAAAGTTTGCAGCAGGCCTAAAAGAGTTATAGATCTGGTAATAAGATATATATAGATAGGTGGGGAGCCTTGTGCCCATATTTTCCTTGGGCCTTCCTTGCAGAGCATTTTCTTGTGGAAAGAGTAACATCAATACATTCTAGAAAACAGAGCATCCGACTTATTCCTTGATTTTTGGTTTTATTCGAGTTGCAGAACATTTCCTTTGCGTTGATATCGATTGTAGAGCATCTCAACTTCTGGTGTTTATTCGCTGGACATCTTGCCCCTTGTCTAGCTTTCTTGCAACTTGTTTTCTGCCTAGGCCAGCAAATGATGTCATTAGTACAGACGGACACGGTACAGTGTACACGGCTGCCAGGGCAGGGTACAGTACAGCACACGCAATATGAAATTAAGAAATTAAGTGGCAGCAGTTAGCAACTCTGCAGCATGCAGCATGCAGCATGTAGCAGCCACCATCCAGTCCCGAGGGCAGCACGCCATTCCAATTGTAAATAGATCAGAGTTTCATGCAAATTGCCATGGACAGCCGCTGAAGGAAGAGGATCGGATCTATTGGATGGGTGGGTGGTTGTATGATGTCTGCGGGCATAGGCCTTGGCCTGGGCCTGGGCCTGGGCCGTTGAGGCGGAGCCAGCAGGGAGATACCCAATTACAGGGAGATACGAGTATTGGCAATTGACAATTGGGGTTGATCGGAGCGAGACCGAGTGATTTATGCACCGAACCATTTAAAGTCCGCGGCGGTTCCATAAACAAATTGTCGCCGTGCTCTCTAAATGGCCATAGCTCTCAGTTGGCTGCTGTTTCTGTATCTGTATCTGTATCTGTATCTGTTGTATCTGCTGCTACTACTACTGTTGTATCTGCTGCTGCTCTGAAATTGAGCTGTAATTGAATTGCACTGCACTTCAGGATACTATTGGGGCTGGCTGGTTAGTTTTTGTTTTTTTTTTTTTTTTTTTTGTTGCCATCTTGCAATTTATTGCAATGCATTTCACAATTAAAACAACACAGACCCAGACCCAGCCATGCAGCTAGCCACGTCATTAGTTTTCGGCCCAAACAAATATGGCCATTGTGTGTATGTGTATATGTATGTGTGTGTTTGTTACGAATTCAAACATTTTGCACATTTGTTTTTGGCCGCTGATAATTTGCTGCCAGACGCTGACTGACTCCCCAACAGGCTGCTGCTGCTGCCACTACTGTTTGCCACTGCAACAATGTTGCACCAACAGCAGCAGCAGCAGACCGCAAACTAATTTTGGCCAATCATTTTGAGACTCTTCAACATACATATGTTTTTGGTTTGGTCTGCCGAACTTGGAAAACCGTTCCCAACTAAATCACAGGAATAACCCAAAGACAAAGCCAAAGCCAAAGCCATAGCCATAACCTATGCTGTAGCCAATACCGAACACAAACGAGACCAAACCATACCGAACCGAACAAACCCCCAAGTAGTATAAATATCATTGTCAAATGCGCTTTTAATTGATGTGGACAGGCCTCGAACATATTGGACAGCCGTGCTGGACACTCGAGGCAGATCTGACAAGCTCACATTAGCAATAAAATACACACACATATATATGTATAATTGGAGTCCCCTCCCCTCCCCTCCCCACCCCTCTCCAGCTCTATCCCTCATTTCATTTACAACTCGAGTCTAGGGTAATCGAGACTTTTGTTTCGAATGTTCGAATCCGAAGTCTTAGTGGAATTTTTGTTTCTTTTTTTTTTTGGCTTGTGGCTCTCGTTGCACTCTATGCGGCGTGATTTATGCCTTCCAACGGAAATTTATTTCATTTTTAATGAGTAATTTACACAAAATTGCATTAATTTGGCCAGAGCCAGAGCCAATACCCGGCCCGGCCTGGCCCGGACCACAAAACGCAACAAGACATGGCAAATTTCTGACATTTCCTTGATTTATGTGCTCTGGAAATTGATCTCTTAACTGAATGGAATTTCTTGTTTAATTGTTAGATTTAATTTGAATTCTTTTGTGCGGCCATAAAGTGGTGGCAGCCAGGCCGCAGGAGGAACAACAAGCAACAGAACAACTGGCCGTAATGTTGGAATGATTTTGATATGAGGAAAGTGGTGCTTACTCCATAGTAATTCCAAATGATTCTCATAAAACAAGTACACTAAAAATTCAATAAATCTTGAAAATGAATGGTATTTTTTTTTTAGGTTTTTAAATTCGAATTCTGATCATTCTTTTTCTTTCACTCCAAGCAAGTGCTGCCAATTAACGCAAAAATAGCAAGCAGTGCAATAGTCGCGCAGTGCTTCAATTATTTCCATATGCGCAAGCAGTTCAAATAAATGGCTGACTAATCCCCTAAACGTAAACTAAATGGTAAATTAATCTCTTGATTTAATGAGATTTTCCTTGCAAGTGTGAGATTTAAATTTGAAATCATTCTTGGCCCGACGATTGGACCACACCAACAGCGCATGGCCCCCAGAAAGTGCTGCCAATTAACGCAAACATAGCCAAGCAGTGTGCTGCAGTGGCAATGTTGCAACGATTTCCATATGCGAAAGCAGTGCAAGCAGACCCAAAGTCTTTGGAGATGATTTAGTGGCCGAACCATCTACGGGCAGCCAATGGACACATGTGTATCCATGTATCCATGGGATACACATTTTAATTAATATGTACAAGCATCACCTAATGAAGCGGCTTGCCTGCGGCAGCGGCAGACCACTGCAGACGTGACCAACACGGTTGTCTGGTATTTTTGGTATTTTTACAACACCCCAGCTGCCACAGAAAGGGGCAAAGAGAGAGAGGCTGGCAGAGAGATGGCAGGCATTTCCATAGAAAATGCGAAATGATGGAAAATGGTGCGAATGCGAATGCCTTAAACCGAATGCCACTGCTGCTTACAGCTGGCTTACATTATATGGCCAAAACACCTAAGGCCATGATTTATAGTTTGTGGTAAATTAAGAAATTAAAATGCTTTTATGGACAGTCGTTCAAGCGGTGGGCCATACAGCCAGTCGCCCGTAGGAGAACAGCTTCTGTTTTCTGTTTTGGTTTCCTTCTCTCTCTGTCCCTAGCAAATTAATTGCCAAAATGTTTGATAAGATTATTTTTCTGCATACGCCGCCACAGCCCCACGCCCACGCCCACGCCACCCACCTGCCACCCCCAGGAGCTAAGCCATGGATTTTCTTAATTAAAATTTTCGGTTGCATGCCACTTGAAAAATTGTATTACTCAAAAGCTAGCAGCAGCAGCAAATTGTTGCCAGATATTAATGTAGCTTTGTAATTGGTTTTTCTCAAGTCCAAGTCACGTTAAGTCAATTAAGAGAAATGCATTTTAGTATAGAAACGGAACGAACAAATGGATGGTTGGATGGGTGGATGGATGGATGGATGGATGGATGGATGGATGGTAGTAGCAGTTGCACAACAAATTATTGTTGATAGACATAGCGGAAGGCAGTGGTAAATTGAAAGTGAAAACTTCTTGAGAAAGAAACTTATAAACTCTTCAAAAAATGGAAACAGAAATAGCTCTAACAACAAATTAATCATAGCGATAGCTTAATCTTCCGAATGGTTCTTGGAAAAAAGCACTACGATCATGTACATCAATATATTAGCTACGAGTGTGCTACATAGCTAGGCTTTTCATATCATAATTCTGGACTTACAGTACATAGTACATAGACATAGAAAGTACGAGTACAACCCCTCGAAGAAGATCTCCACTGACTCTAGATAGACTCGTATAAAACCTTGAACCACATTACCATTTAAGCTCTATTAGCTGCGCCAAATATTTCAAGCCATTTCATAAGGGGGGTTGGTGGGTTGGTGGGGGGGAAATCGACGTTAATTGGTTCTCGTGTTGGTAGCATAGTATTTCTGTTGCTGCCACAGGCAGACACACGAGGAAACGAAGACGCAACGCGGCACTACTGGACTCATGTTGCGCCATAGCGTCGCGCACTTGTTGCCACCGATTGCTCTGACCAAATGCGGATCCCCCACTCTCTTGCCAGCCATCAGCGAATGCCCAGAACAAGCTCGTTAAACGTTTTCCGATTGCAATTGCGCTATAAATTCTACCAAAAATGTAACTAATGAAGTGTTATGAAAGGTGCTCATAAATCGTTGACATCGATTGTAGTGGGTCTGTCTCGGGGAGAGAAGAAGAGGTGGGAAGATCAGAGGAGCACACACCGAGTGGTGGAGAGGAGACAGACCTGAATAGAATAGATCTGAGCTGAGCTGAGCTGAGCTGAAAGCATTGCCGTGCGAACCTTATCAAAGTAATGGAAGACAATATTCAGGTAACATTCGAATTCAATCCATAGCTCAGAATACTCGTATGTACAACAATGTGATCATATGTTAGTATCCGCTACCGTAGCTCTAAATTCTGTTTATTTCTGCCCAAGTTTCAAACAGATTGCGGTTTTGTATGACTGCTCGGAGAATAATTTGTAAATAAAACGGACAAATACGACAAGTACTTAGTGTTTCAGCTGTCCAGTAGTTCCGGTTGGGACTATTTTCAGAGAATATATGGAAAATACGACAAACGAAGAGCCGGAGGTCTTGTCCTTCACAAAGAAGTTTCTATTGATATTGTGGAAGAATCTATGTATGCTCTTTGGACGCAAATGGCAGTTGGCTATTTTAATAATATTTGCTTTTGTAATTCCGCTGGTGTTTGTTTACCTAACATGGCAAACTGAAAATGATCACAGCATTGATGAGCATGAGCATAAGCAAACACTAATACAGTAAGTCGAACCACTAATTATAACTAAACAAAAATATTATTTACTATTGTATTCAATTGTTGCAACAGATACGGTGAAGCTATCATATTATACTCGCCGCAGAACGAAATTCTTGAGTCGCTTATTAAAGGAGTATCCTTTCCTGAATATGACGGCAACATTAAGATCTATATTGTTGGCTGTGCCGATGCCAAGACCTTGGAGAAAGTGCTTACAACAAATACTCTGTACGAAGGGCTGTGCGGCATAGAGTTTCCCGATGAATGGTCCGATATATCCGAATTGCCGCATAGGTTTCGATTTGCCCTGCGGTTTCCCATTACCAAATACTTCAAGACGAATCGCCTGATATCGCGACACAACAACAAACACGATTACCAGGAAAGTGGGTTTCTACTTATTCAGAGGGAAATCAGCATACAATATCTGCAGAAAAAGAACTCCACCCAAGCAGTGATTCGACCGAAACTCGAACAACTATATACAAATGTTGAACTTAGTTATGGCGATTTTCTTCCTTTATTTTTATTGTGTATCTTTGCAGTCCCGTTCATATTAGATGTTAAGGTAAGACTAAGTAATTCTTTAAGCAGTTCTTTAAGCGTTTCATTTGGCAGGACATTGTCGAGGAAAAAGAGCTTCAGCTGAAGGAAATGTTAACCATCTTCGACGTAAGCAACTCTCTGCAATGGCTGGCCTGGTATGTCAAATCCATGATAATTACAATCATAATATCGCTGTTCGTTGCGAGTATTTGGACGCTAATCGGCATCAGAAGACTTTGGCCCTTTCAAGACATGCCCCTTCTCCCTCACACCGGCTGGTCCGTCTTTCTCTTTTATATGCTTGTGTGCAGCCACTCTTTCATATGCTTTGGCTTCCTCGTCAGCTCCTTCTGCTCTCGCAGCATTTGGGCTGGCATCATTGCCCCCCTTCTGCTTATAGCCAGCTGTGTGCCCACAATAATCGCGGACAAAGACACCACGGGGACACTGGCGAGCATCCTGTGCAGCATTTTTGTTTGCTCGGCCATGGGGATGGGCTTGGATCGAATTGTCATATGGGAGGAAGCAGGTCTGGGTTTGCAGTGGAGCAATCTGTTCAAGACGTCATGGCTCAATGACAGCATAAGCGTGGGTGCGATACTGTTAATCATGCTGCTGGTTAGCTTGATCTCGGTCCTCATCTGTCTATACATAGAGCAGGTGAGGCCGGGCGAGTTTGGCACGCCACAGCCGTGGTCTTTCCCGTGCACCAAACGGTTTTGGTGTCCGTCCAAGTACATGCGACGAGTTTTATCCCTCCCGGTCTGGTATCCTGTCCAACGAGGGAACTCCAAGCTCGTGAATGCCAACGCCAAGGGCCAAATATCTGGTGTTCAAATCAAAAGTCTCAGTAAAAGCTTTGGCAAACGACAGGTGGTCACTCGCCTCACATTCGATTTGTTTGAGAACGAGATCATGGTGCTCCTGGGACACAATGGCGCTGGCAAGACGACTACCATACAAATGTTGACGGGGACTATTCAACCCAGCTCCGGCACAGCGATTATCAATGGCTACGACATACAAACTCAACGGCTCCTGGCCCGTCGGTCCTTGAGTATTTGTCCGCAGAAGAGCATATTTTTTGGTGGCTTAAGTGCAGCCAGCCACCTGCGATTCTACAGCCGGCTCAGAGGTCTAAAGGGAGCAGCGGTCAAGCAGGAGGTGGACAAGTACTTGCAGAAGCTTAGCCTACAGGAAAAGGCCAACAGCTCGGCCCGGAGTCTGTCTGGCGGTACCCAGCGTCGGCTTGCGTTGGCCTGCGCCCTGTGCGGCAATGTCAAGGTTGTGTTCTGCGACGAGCCCAGTTCGGGTCTGGATCCCAGCTCGCGGCTCGAACTATGGAAGCTGATGCTGGACGAGAAGCAGGGGCGCACGATTCTGCTCACCACCCATCAAATGGACGAGGGCGAAGTATTGGCTGACCGCATTGCCATCATAAGCGATGGCCGGCTCCGGTGCCTGGGCACATTGGCGTCCCTCAAGAAACGGTACGAAACGAGCTATCTGCTCACCTGCGAGAAGGGCCCACGCTGCGATGTGCCCAGATTGACCCAGCTGATAGCCGAGCACGTCCCCCACACGCGTCCACAGAGTAACATTGGATCCGACGTGTCCTATCGGTTGCCTCACCGCTTTTTGAGATCCTTTGGGTCACTCTTCAACGACTTGGAGCAACAGAAGGAGCAGCTGGATGTTGTGGGATTCGGTCTTAGCTCCGCCAGTCTTGCAGAAATATTTATGTCGCACGGTGCGGAAGATCTTGGGAGTGGCGGTGGGAGTCGCACCAGCGGAGGCGGATTGGATGAGCAGAGGCAGAGACAGGCACAGAGACGTCGTGACAATTGTTGCCTGCGCTGCCTGGGCCAGTGGGAGGCCATGCTTTTGAAGAAGATCCTATACATTTATGATAAGAAATGGATGCTTCTGGTTATCCTGCTGCTGCCTCTAGTCATCTACCTTCTATCTATTATTCGAAGGCAATCGAGCTCCAATATGAAGAGGCTACCGCTAACACTGGCTGATTACAAAAGCGATGACGTCTTAATATTATTGCAACCGAAATCGGACGCTCGCCCTATGCGGGATATATCCAATGCCTACCAAGAGTTAGCCCAGCAACACTGCACCGTCGAAAGAATAAGCCAGAATGTAGGCGACTATATCGGCCCGGGGCAAGAAACGCCCGAAAGGATATACGAAATAAAGCGCAGCCTTATAGCGGCAGTCACCGTCGACCAAGAGATGATCGTCTGGAGTAGAAATGATCCCTTCCTGCATAGTGCTCCACTTTCGCTCAACCTCGCGTTCAACGCCATGGCCAAAGCAGTGGTGGGTCACGAGGCGAGTATAGAGGTTACCAATGCCCCCTACCAAAGGGTGGAATATAGAGAGAGTGATACAAATTCGACTATACCACTGACCATTTCTGTTTCAATATATCTGTCCATTGTCCTGGCGATATTCGCCATCTTGGTGGTGCAGGAGAAGGTAACGCAGATACGGATGCAGCAACAGATGTCCGGCGTGAACATGGTGACCTACTGGCTGACCCACTACATCCCGGACTTGGTTCTCTACTTTGTGTTTTCGCTGGCACTGCTAGTGGCGGTGCACGAGTCGTGCCATCCCTGGGAGATGCTATTGATTTTGATGATCATAGGAGTGGCGGCTCTACCCTTTACCTATATAATAGCATGCCTTTTCAGAAATGCTGGCACTGCTGTGGCCATAGTTACCATCATCAACATTCTGATCGGTAGGATTTTAAAACTTCAGTCTTCAGATGCATTTTAAATTAAGCCCCAAATACGTTTCTCCTTTGCGTAGGTGGGTTGTTTGCCATCTTCATGGTATTGCTGTATCACAAAGTATACGAAACGATGTTTCGGTGGATGATATACGTATTTTACCTTTACCCTGTGTTTACTGGCACATTTGCGGTCGTAAACGGCTTTATAAGGTTTGAGCAGTGCCATGCTGATTCCATCCCAGTTGAAAACTTAGAAAGGCTCAGGTTGAATTGTACTCCCGGCTTAACACCTTTACATTACTATTGCAATTGCTTCGGTAAGTATCAAGACACACACTTTGAGCACACTCACATATCACATAGCACATTTCCAGTTACATATGGAGAGATCTGTTACCGATCTTATTTTCGAACTTGATTGAAACTTAACTTGTTTAACATATTGACATATGCAACTATCTAAAAGAATCCCAGAATAATTTCGTAATATCGACGTATCTTTTATTCACCCCAGAAATTTTCGTTCCAAGCAAATATCCTTAACATTAGACTTAAAAAAAAATCAAAAACAATAATCATTTTTGGGACATTAAGGGACATCAAAGCACAGCAAATTATTCACATTAAAATATTTTCTTAGGTTTCGCTGAAATCGGCTTTTGTACCGTTGACCGCGACCACACACTTATATTTTTGTCCCCTGCGAATGCCTGAGTTTTTTTGCAATTATCTGGAAAACGAATATTTTCCCCAAAATCATCTCTTGGCACCAATTACTGGGCTATTTAAGAGTTTTAAGTTATGCATATTGTGAAATTAAAAATCCGTTTCACAATATATTGACTATTTTTTCTCTTTAAATTCTTACAAATATGCCGTGCGACATAATGGAAATGCTCATGTGGGCAGTCGTAAGCCTTGCAAGTGGTAAAAAAGGTCAAAGTTAGAGGGATTTAAAAATCCTATAAAATAGCACTTGATTACCAACATTGATAATGAATGCAAAGGTCGATTTTGGGGAACGGTTCATTTTCGGGATTTGTGAAATAAAGAACAACGTATTTTCGCGGGACTGAAGTATGAGTGGCTTTCGCGTCGATCAATTCAAACTTAGATTTAAGCGAAAATTGAGTCAATATATTGATGCGAATAAATGATAAATGTTGTACGCAGAAATGATTTGTAGTTTCTTTTTAAATTTAGTTTAAGCCTCTGTCGCACCTTATATCGCATGCGACATTTCGCAAGGGACAGAAATATCTAGGCTTAATAAAGGCTTAAAATATACCATTGACCGATATTGAGCAAACTTCTAGGAAAAACTTTTAGCGAGAATAAGTTTTCCTATAGGAGTCAAAAAGTCAAGGAAAACAGGACTGTAAAAATACCGAAATAATACCAAAAATACCGAAATAATAACCAAAAATACCGGAAAAGTGAAGATTTGCTTATTTGCATAGGTTTTGAGGACAAAGTTAATAAAATTATATGCCAATTGGTTAAATTAGAGATTCAATATTTTTAGAAAATAGTATCGAGACAAATGTTTTTGGAATAGTGATTTTATAAACTTTAATTTGAATGTGCTCGTTGGACTTTTTGTCGAAAACGGCCTTATGTTCAATTTCTTCTCACAGATATCCTGGATTGGGTGGAGGTGAAGTATCTGCTTATTTCTGGTATTATCTACTTGCTGATGCTGTTTTTCGCCAATTACATTACCACAGTGTGGTATGGTCTGAAATATATTTTGTTTTGCTTGTGTTTAAAAAAAAAGCCTGCAAGCGACGATGAAGATGTGGTTGCTGCGGCCGAAAGGATAAGTAAAATGTCGACCGAGGATCGCAAGAAACATGCTCTGGTCCTGAAACGTGTCTCGAAAAGATTCTGTTGCGTGTCTGCCGTGAGGGGAATATCCTTCACTGTCAAACCGTGAGTAGTGGACTAAACAGCAGCCATAGTAATAACTAAACCTCAAATTCACTGCAGGGGCGAGTGCTTTGGTCTGCTGGGTGCCAACGGGGCCGGTAAAACGACTACCTTTAAGATGATTGTAGGCGAGATATCCTCGACGATGGGGAGTATTCATGTCAGAGGCTACAGCCTCAAATGGAGTCCCACAGCTGCGAGGAAACAGATCGGCTACTGCCCCCAGCACGACACGCTCTTCGACTTCTGCACTGGCCGTCAAACACTCAGGATATTCCTTTTGCTGCGCGGCACACCCCGGAATCTCGTCACAGAAGCATCTGAAAAGCTGGCCTCCGACTATGGCTTTTTCAAGCACCTGGACAACAAGGTCAAGGACTACAGTGGCGGCACGAAGCGAAAGTTAAACGCAGCGGTGGCCGGTGAGGGCTCATCGCTCATTTGTCTGGACGAGCCCAGCTCTGGAGTCGATCCAGCGTCCCGGCGGCATGTGTGGAATGTCCTCTCCTCACTGCGTGACAGCGGGAAGGCAGTGTTGCTTAGCTCCCATAGCATGGAGGAGGTGGAGGCCCTCTGCACTCAATTGGCTATTATGGTGGATGGGAAAATTAATTGCCTGGGGTCACAGCAGCGCATCAAGAATAAGTTAGCCCAGGTTCTGGTGCTCAAGTTAGTTGTGGAGACGAGTCCGGAAAGGTGAGTAGGAATTTAAAGAGTCTCCAACGGCCGTATAAATTGAACCCTCAAATCCACCCACACAGCATGGCCCACACTCTACAGAAGATAAAGAATCAAATGAATTCGGACTATCCCAATTCATGGCTAGAGTAAGTTGTATTCGGACCAGCCAAACATACCCCTAATGGTGGCTCTTTCAGGGAGGAGTTCGGTGGCAGGCTCACTTACCACATACCCACTGACAAACTGCGATGGTCGAGAGTATTTTTATACATTGAGAAGAATCAGAGCAGCTGGAAGGTGGCGGACTATTCTCTGGCGCAGCCGTCTCTGGAAGATGTATTTCTGGACATTACCAAGAAGAAGTCGAAGAAGAAGTCGAAGAAGAAGAATCAAAGCAGGCAACCGTAGAGTAGTGCCACCATTATGGACTCTCCGAAATCAGACTATCCCAACTGTAACAATGTATAGTGACGACTACTCGATCAATTTACATCAAATATGTATCCCTCTAATGATAGGCGAAGTGATTCGTTTTGTTTTTTGACTCAAACCTTATGACCAAATTGATAGTATACGATATCTATTGTAAGCTAGAGACCTTAGGTAACAACTGGCGAAAAAAAAAATTAATTCTGTTTACTATACAAATGTTGTTAGATATTTTCTGAAGTGGCTAAATACCCTGTGTAGAGAGATTTGATACATCTCCTTTCTGTGAAAATTTCAGTAACACCGCAACCGAAACAAGGCCTCGGGCGAACTTTTTCCCAATTATACCCAATTCTATCTAATAGTATTTTATGCAATATATTATAAAATATGTATACCTAGGTATACGGGACAAACAGATGGACATGGCTATATAAACTCGGCTATTGATGCTGATATGGAATACATCTATATGTACTTATACTATACAATCTGACACAATCTATGGCGTCCTTCCGGATGTTTCCTACGTGCTTTTACTCGTAAGTAAAGATTCGGACTAATATAGGAACCGCCGCGCATTGAGAAGAGCGCAATGGAATGGAAGTCAAAGTCAATAAATACCCAAACTTGCATTAAGTTGCAAGTTGGGGTTGTCCTTTATGTCCTCCTTCTTTCGTTATTTGTAATTGTTCGGGGATGATAGACACATACTCGTACGAAATATAAGCGATCGGTTGGACAGAAGAGAAGAGCTTTACAAAAGCTGAAAAGCTCTTAATCGAAGCTTATCTCAACCAGGGAAGATGTTCTGTGGATGAGACAATAATCTCCATGCTACTCCTCGAACGGTTCACTGAAATTGGGCATATTGGGCAGTAACTTTAATTAATCAACTTCTATCATCAGTCCTTAGCCTTTACACGGTTCGTACGTATGTCTTCGATTGTAGTCCCATTATACGGTATCTAGAAGAACACTCTGCCTTCACTAATCATTGCTTATCAGTATGTATTCCGCTTAGCATATTCCACTTTCAGTTGTTCGACAAAAGCAAAAGATTAAACTGGATTTGACTGTACGCGAGTGAAGATGTTGTGGATCACTCGGTTGTTGGTGCTGCTACTGTGGCTGGTGCTGACCTTTGGTCAGCTTGGTGTCCCTGCACAGCCCCAATCGCAAGCACAGGCCCGGTACGACCACACGCGCATCTATCAAGTAGAGCTGGCGAGTGCCGATCACGTGCAACTGTTCCAGGCGTTGGAGCTGGCAAGCGATTCGTGCTCGTTCATGGGCCATGCCCGAGTGCCGGGACAAAAACTGACGATCATGGTGACCTCGCACAAGGTGGCCGACTTCGATGACCTGTTACAGAGCTACAACGTGAGCCACCGCATCCTGAACCACAATTTCCAGGCTCTGATCGATGCCAACTACCGCGAGGTGGCACCCGAGGGCACTCCGCCAGATCAGTTCGACTGGAAACGCTACTTCCAACTGGACAGCATCTACGCCTGGCTCGAGTTTCTGGCCCAACAGCGGCCAGAGGTGGTCACCCTGGTGGATCTGGGGGCTAGCACCCAGGGACTCCCCATCAGAGGTGTGAGGATTGCCTTTGGAGGGGAGAATCTTACCAGCGTCTTTGTGGAGAGCGGGATCCATGCGCGTGAATGGATCGCCCCGGCCACGGCCACGTATTTCATCGAACAGCTTCTGAACTCCAAGGATGCAGCTGTGCAGACGCTGGCCCGCTCCCAGAACTGGGTGATCTTTCCCACAGTGAATCCAGATGGCTATCGCTACACTTTTAAGGGCGATCGCATGTGGCGCAAGAATCGCTCTCTGTTCGGCATATGCCGGGGTGTGGATCTGAACAGAAACTTTCCGTTTCACTGGAACGCGACGGGGGCCAGTGGCGATCCCTGTCGCTACGACTACTCCGGACCGTCGGCGGGCAGCGAGGTGGAGACGCAGCGCATCGTTCAGTTCCTAGAGAATCGCATCCAGTCGGAGCGGATAAGGACCTTCATTTCCCTGCACAGCTATTCCCAGCTGATCATGTTCCCCTATGGCCACACGCCAGAGCGAGTGGAGAACTATCAAGATCTGAAGGAGATCGGACAACTGGCAGCCCAACAGATCAAGAAGCAGAGTGGACGAATCTACAGGAGTGGCAGCATCTACGAGACCATCTATCCCTCTAGCGGCGGATCCAAGGACTGGGTTCATGGTCATCTAAAGGTGCCCATTACCTTCACGTACGAGCTGCGCGGACCACCGGACAGCGAGGATCTGTTCATTTTGTCCGCTGGTGAGATTGAGTCCACGGCCAGCGAAGCCTTTGCCGCACTGCAAACGATCGTGGAGGAGGCTGGCAAACGTGGCTATTACCAGTGAGAGCCACTACAGATCCCACTCCAAGCGTCAGCAGCAGGCAGGCAGCAGCAGCATCGCATCTGATGATGATGATAAATGTCGTCTGGCCTGGCAGTTCACATGAAAAACACATTACGCGCCAGCCAGCGTTTCTTAATGCTAAATAATGATGGCAAAATCATGACACAAAACCTCATAATAATGTTGGTAAATCAAAGCAAATATAGCCAGAGACTCGAACGAGCAGAGCAAAGCCGTATGCCTTATGCCTTATGCCTTATAGAAATACAAAATACTCGTAGTTGCAACTTGCAACTATTACAGTTACGATGCCATTGTTATTGTATTGTACACTTGCCACGGCCATGGGGTCCCTGGATGGGGCCTATCCATTCAAAGATGGATGCGGCTTGTGGTGCGGCTGAAGGTTAGATCTTCTAGTATGGTATTTATCAAGAACAGGATAAGGCAATAAATGTGTCTATAGAATTGTGTTTGGCGTGGGAAACGCGAACAGTTGATTGTACTTAAAGGGAAGTCCATTCAAGTATCTCATTAGTTTGTTTAGTTCTTTCAAATAAGTTGGATAGAGACGGCTTAAGATGATGAGTGCGGGAGATATACATATGTACAATGTAATTCTAAACATTCTATTGACAGATAGTTAAAATAATGAATAATATATTTGATGGGAGTGTTTATACCTTAAAGACAAATCTGTTTTCAAAGATAATGTTCAAATTCGAAGAATTTATTGAGTCTACTTCGAGGGAATTTCTTGAAAAAGAAAAGATAATACGAGGACATCTTATGATGCCATGTGTATAGCAAAAGTAGGAGGAAGGACAAGTATTTTGACACAGACTTAATCCAGGCTGTGAAGTTCCAGGCTGTTTCCTGGAAGTTTGAATCAGCCTGAACTTTGATAGTCTTTGATCCCATGTCTCATATTCGTAGAGTACCTTTCGGTTAGCAAAAAAGTGTATTAATAGTGCGTCCTAGCTGCAAGAGATTTTCCAGTACCAGAACTCTGGCAGCTGACAGGCAAGTTATGAACCTGTGCAGCCCCGCGACAGACAATATGCATGTTGCACACACACACACACACACACACACTGAGAGACAACTGCAACATGCGACTAGTAACACGTTACTGGTGCTGCCGACATAGCAGACTTGTTGACGGCAATTGTCGGGGCCTTTTTTTGTATTCTTTTTCGTTTCTGCTTTTTGTTGTAGTGGCTTATGCCATTATAATATATAGTTAGTCTTATTGCTGTCTGTCTTTATGGAGAGGAGAGCTATGGCAGCCACACACATGTCAGACATTGGCCGGTTAATAATGTTGCTCCCGCCGCCGTGGCTGAGGCCGCGGAGATGACGATGCCTGCCGCAATGTTCGGCGGAGATAGATATTGATGTTGGCCATAATCACGATCTAATTTATTTACAAATTTGTGTTGAAATCATACGTTCAAAGTCGTGTTTAAAAAGGTTCTGGCATGATTTATGCGAGCGTTGAAATCCACCAGCAACAAAAACCAGCAACAATGGAAATTCCAATAGCAGCACACAAATTTCTCACAGTCCCGCGGATCGTTTTGGAAAATTTGCTTCTTCTGCCTTGATGTGGACCCTAATTGATTGGCCAAGTGGCAGTGGTGGAAGAGCAGCCGCAGAGAGTGTAGGAGGGGTGCTTGTAATAGTGCTGGAAACCAGGAACCAACCGCTTTTGAGTTAGCTAATTTAGATTTATTGCGCAAATCGCAACTTGATGCGTGATGCCGCTAAGACATGGCCCACAGTCGCCTCTCCCTAGTCTTCCTTCGCCAGCAACAGTAACAGCAACAGCACCAGCTACTCCTCCTCCTCCGCTATAATCCGGGTGTTGCATGTGGCCATTTGTCATCGGGCGAGGATCGTGTGCTGCAGCTGCGATTTCAGTTTGTTTCAAACGGGCACGATGTAAAAGCCCCCAACATGAATCTCTTTCTCTCGCGCTCTCGCTATAATCTCGGAAATGTTGATAAATTGAACGATTGTTGATTTTCACGCTGCCGCTGCCATTGCCCTGGTCCCTGTGCCTTTGGTCCCGGGCCGTGTCACAGTGCCATAGTGCTTGGAAATAAACATATCAACATGATAAATAAGAGGCCCATAAGCGAGCCAGGTTATCAGCGGACAGCGGACAAGCGGACAGTGGGACACCGGACACAGAGTCCCGGCTACACGCTAACCGAAGGACAACCTCATAAATCAGGCAGGCTCTTTCTCGAAAAAATGAACAAAATGTGAGCAGTTTTAATCGCTGATTTCCGCTTCATAAGAAATGGAAATAAAGACAGACAGCGAGAAACGCAAGTAATTTAACAACAAAAAACTCGACAAAAATAAAGAGAATTACAAATAAAGGTATATTCAAAACTGGTTTACTGGCAAAAGAGACGCGCAAAGGCACACACTCGAGACTTTGGACAGTCGAAACTTTTTGGGGCAACCCTCGCTTTCTACACTGCACTGCACAAAAAGGAGACTCGATCCGGCGGCTGCTTCTTCTCGGTTAAAGTTAAATTATCTTCTGATGGTTTATTGAATTTATAGGGCTTTGTGTGTTTCTAGTTTGTTTTGTTTGTTGTATTTACGGGGCGACTCGGACTAGTCGCTCATTTGATGAACAGTAAAACTAAGTTTACAAAACTTTCGCCTCGGACAGATCGTCCAGGGGCTTGCTGGGTGGCGGGATCTTGTACTCCGTCTCGGGGGTCTCGTAGATCTTCTCCTCCTTGGGCTCCACCACAGACACGTTGTCGGGCAGTGGCTTCTTGGGGCCAATCTTGTTCTTGGGATCATAGGGCAACATGATCTTGACCTTGATGCCGAGCACTCCCTGGCGCAGCAGCACGTGACGTGTGGCGGTCTCGACGTAGTCGTTGCACGGATCACCAGAGTGGATCATCAGGCCATCGACGAACTTCATCGACTTTGCACGTTGACCACGCAGCTTGCCGGACACGACAACCTCACAGCCCTTGGCTCCCGACTCCATGATGAAACGCAGCACACCGTAGCAGGCGCGACGGACGGCCAGTCCTCCGGTCAGCTTGTAACGCAGCGACTCAGCCTGGGCGATGGCGCACAGACCACGGGTGGCGACCTTCTCGGCGTACAGCTCGATGCGGCCGGTCTCGAAGTTGAAGCGCTTCTGGACCATAGCGGTCAGCTCGCGGATGCGGCGTCCCTTCTCGCCCAACACCTGCTGGGTCTTGGTGGCCATGATGATGATCTCAGTGCGGGAAGGGGTCACACGCACCTCCACACCGGAGTAACCATCCTCGGCGAGCTCGCGAGTCAGGAACTCGTTCAGCTCAGCCTTGAATATACCGTCGGAGACGAACTAAAATGATGTAAACACCAATTATTAGCAATGATTCTACACCATAATCCACTGCAGCCGCTCCCTGCTCTAACTGTTGTTGTTCTTCAATTGACACGGGAGGCGCTCCACGCTGCCTCCAACAAATTGTAGACGCCAGGCCAGCCAGCGGTTTGAGGTTATCTACGAATGCACTTCACTTTCCGACGTTCGGCGCAGATTTTTCACACAACTTTACGAAAACATCATACAGCCGGGCGCGTTGCACTTTCCTCTGCATTTTCCAATGCGATTTGCGCTAAATTACCTTGCGTTTCTTCGAAATTGGGAGGCTGGCATTCATTTTGACAACTCGCACGGAAACGTGGTAAGCAGAAAAGAAAGAAGAGCAGGATTTATCGTTAAATTATCGACCCTCAGAAATATACCGAAATATACCGTCTCATTTTCAAAATATACCGCAAATATACCGATGAAAAAACGACCTTAGCCCACTGAGGCCTCCTCTATTTAAACAGCTCAACAACTTGCGGTAAATGGTTACTGATTGTAATTTCTTCTAGTAGATCCATTGCAATGTTTTCTCTGAACTCAACAAGAGCCCAAGATATCTTTCACCTGAACTGCGCTGGAATATTTAAATACAACCTTGGCCTACAATGGGTTAATCGGTGTGCGCCAAGGATTGGAAACCATATTATTATATTATTATTATTATTTTACTACTACTATTCTAATCGGATTGATAAATAAATTTTCTACGAGATATGCTAGCTTTAACTACTCACTTTTATTAAATTTTTTCTGAATAGCATAGAATATAATCAGTAAGCCAGTAATCATTCCTATTGATCAATTTTGATATTCTGTTGAATAATGTTGGCTAATTGAGACTCTCAGCTCTGCCCACATGGTTTTGATTACATTTACCTACGAGAACTTTGGAATTTTACATTTAAAAACTGGCAGTGGATTGTCTGAGGTAATTTTGGTATTTTTCTATATTAGCCTTTTATTGAAATACTGAAATATCGAAAAAACTGAAGAAATATACCATTATAATGCAATATACCATAAATAAACCTTCATCTCAAATTCAATGTCAATATATAACGAAAAGTATATAAAACGGTTTCTTTCAGATCAAATTTTGGACCTTATTTTGTATAAACAATTAATTAATTCAATTATATGTCATTAAAATATCGGTGTGCGACAGCATCCGTCTCAGTTTCTGAAGCAACACAAAAAATATCCTCGATGGACCGCGATTTATCAAGAGTTTACCTGCTGAAAATATTTGGCGGTCAGACATTTCATTTTTGCCCACATATGTATGCTTTTGAATTTAATGCCGGGCAATGGTATTGTTGAGAAATTAGACGCTTAGTTTAGTCTTCCATAGGTTCTCTCTTCCCAAAAAGAGGCACAGAAAGGTCGAAATGAAGCGCATGGAAATGGGCAGAGGCGAACCACTGGCAAGGCACCTGCAAAGAAATAGCGGAAGAGAGATAGTGTGATGAGAGAAAGAGAGACGCCATCAACCGATAAGCCCCAGCCAATTCCCAGCCAAAATTTTGAGATCAGTCGAGAAACAAATCTCGTGCAACACACAACATAACATGGGAGCCATTCCTCAAGCTCTCTTCTGCCTAATCTTTATCGCCCTGGGGCGCTTGGATGTCCGGGGGGGCGTTTATAAGGAGCTAACGACACCGCTGGGCCATGAGATCATGCGGCACGCCAAGTCAGCGGATATGCGCTCCTTCATTGACCCGAGTGTGAGTCCCTGCGATGACTTCTATGGCTATGCCTGCGGGAAGTATCCCTCCATAAATGCAGCCTCTCGGGAGACGGACAAAAGCATCGGGCTGGCACTCCGTGATGGCTATCTGCGGCGAGTGCGACAGCTGCTGAACGAGCCCAAGATGAGCACGGACCGGCCCATGGAGACGCGGGTGAAGTACTTCTACGAGTCGTGCCTGAACACAACGGCACTGAGGATGAACCAGCGCAGCCACCTGCTCCACATTCTGAGGGAATTTGGAGGCATGCCGGCCGTGGAGGGCAGCACCTGGGACGAGTCCAAGTTCGATGCCATTGATATGATGGCCACGCTGCTGCGACGCTACGGGAAGATCACGTTCCTAGGCGTGAGTGTCGGCCCCGATATTGCCAACAGCCAGATCAATCGCTTGTCCCTGGGCCAAAGGGATGACCTGGTGGTCATCAAAGATGAGGAATCAATGAAACTGGTCAAGAAGGTGCGCCTAAAGTGGAGGCTGCAGCAGCTACTTGGTGTCTCGCCAGAGCGTGCCCAGAAGACGGCCATTGAGATCGGCACCCTGGACTCGGAGCTGGGGCGCAGTGGCATCGACCGGAAGATGGTTGGAGATCCGCGATTGAGACAACGCCTGACAGTGATCAGCAGCCTAACGGAGACCTACGGACCGTCCCTGAACTTCACCAGATTTGTGAGCACCTGGCTGGACCATGACTACCAGCTGCCCGTCTACGAGTACGTGCCCGGCTACCTGTGGCAGTTGAACAAGATTCTGTCGAGCACACCCAAACGCGTTCTGGCGAACTATATGCTCTCGAGCCTGGTAGAGGACTTTGTGGTGGAATTAGAGCCCGAGAAGCAACAGCAGCAGCAGGAGGACTACTGTGCGGTACGGACCACAGATCTATTTCCTGCTGTGGTGGATCACATGGTCTATCACTCCCTGGAGCAGCAGAGTCCCCACATTCCCGTCATCCTGCGGCAGCTGTTTCAAGAGCTGAAGGACACCTTTGAGGCGATGCTGAATGGCCCTGATCTGGAGTGGCTGGACGAGCAGACGCGCAATGGGATGGTTGAAAAACTCAAGCTCATGTCCTTCCAGATATCTGGCGAGGAATCTGTGGACTTCGAGGAGCACTACGGCTCCTTGATCATCAGCTCGGCCGACTACTATGGCAACATTGAGCGTCTGTTGGAAGTGCGCGCCCTCAACCTTCGCGAGGATCTGCAGAGGCCGCAGTCGAAGCCCATCTTCTACGACGACACGATCGATTCGCCCTGCTATGTCAGGGAGGCCAATATGGTGGTCTTTCCGGCCAGTCATATGCAGCATCGCTACTTCTGGGACGATGTCTACCCAGCGGCCCTCAAATACGGCACTCTGGGCTTTGACCTCGCCCACGAGATAGCGCACGCCTTCGACGACTCGAACCTGTTGTTCGATGGAAAGGGAAATCTACGCGACTCGTGGTCCAGCGATGCCAAGACGAGCTTCAAGCTGCTCAAACAGTGTCTGGTGGATCAGTTTAGCGAGCTGCGCTTTGGCAACCAAAAGCTACCAAGGAGGGAGACGCAGGGCGAGAACATTGCCGACAATGTGGGCATCCGCATCGCCTTGGCCGCCTACCAAAAGTGGCTGCTGGATCACTCCAAGACTGTGGATGCGGGAACGGAAGCCCTGCCCCATATGCCTCAGACGCCGCTGCAGCTCTTCTTCCTGAGCCTAACTCAGACCATGTGTTCGGATGTGCTGCCCGAGAGGCGCCATGCCCATGTCATGACCAGTGTCCATGCACCGTCAGAGGCGCGTGTGCGCGCCATGATGGGCAACACCCGATCCTTTGCCGAGGCCTTTCAGTGCGGGAACACCACCAGAATGAATCCCCCCCTCAGATGCAAGGTGTACTGATTTCATGATTCCTAATAGTTCCTAATAGTTCCTATATACGAAGGTATACTCATTAAACAAGTAGTTCCGCTTCCGAACAGCGTGTGCATGTCAATCTCATCTGAATCATAGCGGCAGATACGAGTTACGAGCAGTCTCTGCCGAAGCTCTGGCTCACCCAGATCCCGATTATGTCCAGCTTGAGCAGTGTATAGTAGAGTAGACAATGGCCAGTATATAGATGATGACATCCATCAAAAGAAAATAGATTTCGAAGTTACAAATATAGTAGTACGGTGGCCTCTGCTAATATACTTCCTAGGTCAAGTTGCACACTGAGAAGATTCGAATTATAAGACTCGTATAAGAGCTACTATCTGTAGGAGCTGCTGGAGCGATAAGAGATTGACCTACCCCAGAGCTCTGGGGCTGGCTCTGATCTGAACATCTGTATACACAAATCTCTCGCTGATAAGCGGCTGGCTGTGGCCCTCGACGAATCAGCGATTGAAATACCATTTGTAAATCAGTTGAACCAAGCGAGAGATCATGTTGAGACGGGTTTTGTTGCCACTCTGGGGTAGCCTCATGGTGGTGTCTGCTGCGCTGGCACTGCCAGCGGATGACCTGACCTCGGACTATGCCAAGAGCATCATCCGCCACTCAAAGGTGGCCGACATCAAGGCGATGCTGAAACCAGATATAGCGCCCTGCGACGACTTCTATAGCCATGCGTGCGGCAATTGGCACCGTCAGAATCCAGCCCAGCTGCTGAACGACATCACCACCGACACGTTCAAGCTGATCTCCAAGGGATTCGATCGTCGGCTGCAGAGCCTGCTGCGCTCGAACGAGCTGAAGACGGAGCTGGAGCAGAAGCTGCAGCGGTTCTATCTCTCCTGCGGCCTGGTGCATCGCGACGATGTCCACTACAAGCTGGCGCTGGAGAACGTCTACCGGGAGTACGGCGAGATTCCAGCCCTGGCTGGCGACCGCTGGAACGCCTCGAACTTCACCTGGTGGCAGACTGTGGGACAGATCCAGCACAAGTACGGCCGCCAGATCGTCCTGGCCGTGGACATAATGCGCGACATCCAGAACAAGACGGTGAGCCGCGTGTATCTCGGTCCGCCCGATTACGAGAAGCTCTCCAGCTCGGGCATCCTCAACCTGCTGGAGGAGGCCAGCTCCTCCAAGGATCTGCAGCAGTACTTTGGCCTCAGTGCCCACCATGCCAAGCAGACCGCCGAACAGCTCCATGCGCTGGAGACCCGTTTGATGTCGAGCGACTCCAGTTCCAGCTCGGAGTCCATCGAGGATAATCTCTCCCTGTACACGCTGGCCGAGCTGGAGGAGAAGTATGGCGACCATATGAACTTCACCGAGTTCTTTGCCCTCGTTCTGGGACCGAATAATGTGCCGGAAACGCTGTACATCTACGATGAGCCGTATCTGGACAATGCCCTGAGCATCGTCAAGTCCACGCCACCCTCCCTGCTGGCGACGTATGTGCTGTGGCAGCTGATGCAGGATTACCTGGTGGATGCCACGCCCAGTACTCTACCCAAGTGGTGCGTTGAGAAGACCAAGAAGTACTTTGGCAAGCTCACAGACCACGCGGTTTATGCCCGCTACCGCAGCGCCGAGGGCGAGGCGGAGGTGCACAGCGTGTGGGACCAGATCCGGAACGTATTCCGGCAGCAGTTGGCGGGGGACAAGCACGATTGGATCACCAATGCCACGCGCCAGCTGGCCATCGAGAAGCTGGACAGCATGCAGCTGCACATAAACTCCTATGACAGCGAGAACTTCGAGGAGCTGTACGGAGCGGTGGCCATCGATCGCCTCAACTACGTGGCCAATGTGCAGCAGCTGAACATAGCCCAGGCCAAGCGCAGCACGGAAAGAATTAAGCAGGCGCCCAGCACGCTGGAGGACACCGATCTGCTGAGCTTCACTCCCGCCTACAACATCCTGGAGAACAACATCACCATTCCGGTGGCGCTGTTGCAGCCGCGCTACTTCTGGGGCGACCAATATCCGCAGGCCCTGAAGTATGCCACGCTGGGCTACCTGCTAGCCCACGAGATGATCCATGGCTTCGATGTTGAGGGCCGCAACTACGATGCTGGCGGCAATCTAGCGCCCTGGTGGGACCTCAAGTCTCGCTACGAGTTCGAAGAGCGGCGCAAGTGCTTCCAGGCCCAGTACCATGCCTACAGATACGGCGGATTTAAACTGCCGGAGAGCACGCAGCAGTCGGAGAACATAGCGGACAATGCCGGAGTGAAACTCGCCTATGCCGCCTACGAGCGATGGCTGGGGCAGCAGTCGGAGGAGAAGCGACAGCAGGAAACCATGGAGGGGCTGGACCTGAACAATCGCCAGCTGTTCTTCGTGGGCTTTGCCCAGCTGTGGTGCGATGATGTCCAGACGCTGTTCAAGAAGACCGTGGCTCAGACAGACAGCCATGCACCTGGCATGTATCGAGTGATTGGCTCGCTGTCCAATTTCCAGGAGTTTTCGTGGGTCTTCAACTGCTCTCAGTCGGCGCCCATGGATCCGGAGTATAAGTGTTCCATCTACTAAGAAGTTTAATTGTTTAATCTGTTTATAAAAATATATTTCATTCAGACAATGTTCCATTCGAATTCCATTCGGGCTCCTAACTAATCCAAGGAGATGCCGTACAGCTGGTCCTTCTAGAAGGTGGTCCTCGGTCTGCAAAAGTGCCGCCGTAAGGCTCCAAGGTTGAAATGTACCCCAACCACCCTCAGGGCTCCAACGGGCACAATCCAACTGATCCAACAGAATGGCTGGGAAACAAGAGCAGCGTCCACCTAGACTCGCCTCCGAGCTAACTTCCGTGCGACTAATGATAACAGCGGACTGGCTCCCAAAGGCTACAGTTATTCATAGGATTCCATGATGAAACGGGTCCTGAACGGGGGGTATCCATTTGATTTTACATGGACATGGAGTAAAAGGTCGCCAAAAAGACTTGCCACACTGGCTAAAAATGTAAAATTTGCAACAAAAAGACGCTAGGCGGCGCGGCAGATATGAGCAGGTCTGGCAACCATGTGGCACCACAAAAGCAAAACAAAGTAAAGTCAAAGGCAAACGCAATTGCGTCTCAATTGAAAATAATCCATTTTCTGCGGAACAACAAAAGGAAAATGTCGGAAATCAAGGCGTTGGAGCACGCCACTCTGAAAGTGCCATACGAGATACTGAACAAGCGCTTCCGCTCGGCCCAGAAGATAATCGACCGTGAGGTGGACCAGGTAATGAACGTATCGCGGCAGGTGGACAAGGCCTTGGACGCCGATCCGCCCATACTGGCGGATGTGACCAAGCTGATGGGAAATGTGGCCCAGAAGCTGCAGGTGCTCAAGCGCAAGGCCGAGGAGAGCATCAACGACGAGCTGAGCGTCACACAAATATGCAAACGCAAGCTGGAGCATCTCAAGGGTATCATGCCACCGAACACGGGCACTGGCGAGCTGTGGCAGGGCTCTGTTGACCAGTGGAAGCGCATACGCCTGGACCGCCTGGTCATCGAGCATCTGTTGCGCATGGGCTACTATGAGACGGCCGAGGAACTGGCCGCCCGCTCCGATGTGCGCCATCTGACCAATCTGGACATATTCCAGAACTCGCGCGAGGTCGAGGATGACCTGGCCAACCACAGCACCACCAAATGCGTGCTCTGGTGCATCGACAACAAATCGAAGCTGCGCAAAATCAACTCGACCATAGATTTCAGCCTGCGGGTGCAGGAGTTCATTGAGCTGGTGCGTCACAACCAGCGCTTCGAGGCGGTGAAGCACTCGCGCCGCTACTTTCCCGCCTACGAGAAGACCCAGTTGAACGAGATCTGCCATGTGATGTCACTCCTGGCCTATCCGGCCGACACCGAGATGGAGCACTACAAGAAGTACATGGACCCGAAGCGCTGGCAGAAGCTGGTGCTGGACTTTCGCCACGAGAACTACCGGCTGTTCCAGCTGTCCAGCACTTCCGTGTTTTCGGCAGCAGTCCAGGCTGGCCTCTCCGCATTGAAGACGCCTCATTGCTACACCCAGACCTGCCGCAATCTCAATTGCCCCGTCTGCCAGGATGATCTCAATCGCATCGCCCTCAAGTTGCCATACTCGCACTGCGTTCAGAGCCGCCTCATCTGCCGGGTGACGGGCCTGCCCCTGAACGAGCACAATCAGCCGATGATGTTGCCCAATGGCCAGATCTTTGGCCAGATGGCCTTGACCGACATAACCAAAGACGATGGCACTGTCACCTGTCCAGTGACCAATACCAAGTTTTCGAATCCCAAAATCGAGAAGGTCTTTGTGATGTAAGTCCCGATGACAGGTGGACTCTACCGTAAACCTAAACCTAAAGCTAAACCTAAACCCTCATCATTAAGTTAAGCAATGAATGACTCTATTTTTGAATATGTAACTCCCATATCTATGATTATTATGTACTGTACACCTATATATGGTATTAAGAAGTAACGCAAATGCAGCGCCCCCCTCGCCGCGAACTGCGCATTTGAATTTCGATTTCGATTGATGTCAATCGCTGCTGCGACGGCTGCCTGCTGCTGCGCCGTCGCGGGCGTATTGATTTCCTCCGCGGCGCAGCGCATCAGTCTGCCGAGGCTGAATCACACGCGAACAACGTTATTTGATTCCTCAAAGTGGAAAAATTATGCATACATCTATATATATATATAATAAACGTAAAATAAATCAAATACAAATGAAATTACACGATAAATAAGAGAGGCAAAAGAGCGGTGCAGTTGTCAATTACAAAAATATTGCATTTCGATTGTTTCGCGCGAACTGTTCTCTTTCGCTCCGTGGCGTGCCTCTCTCTCTCACTCTCTGACAAGTTCAGCTGAGCGCAGGAGGAAACTGTAAAATTTACAGTAAATATCCATGACGCCGTTGCAGTTGTAGGCGAAACAGCTGCGTTTAGCAAACAAACAGATACATAAACCCCCCCCCCGCCCGGAGAGCCAAAGCACCACCACTACTTCCACCACCTCTACGAAAACCCCACCACCGCCAACAAAAACAACTACCGAAGCAGGGCGCACATCTGTAACTGAGGGAAAACCTACCCATTAAATAGTAGTAGTATTAAATATTGCCGCCAACAAAATTGTTTATACTGGCAGCATGGCACTGGACTTTGTGGCCACATATAAGATATTGGTGCTAGGGGACTCGAATGTAGGCAAGACCTGCATTGTGCACAGATACTGCGATGAGAAGTACTACGACACATACATCTCCACCATTGGTGAGTGCATCTGCAACTGCATCTGCATCTGCATCCCCCTCGGCGTATATGTTACATCTTTTATCTGTTTCATCTCCTCCCACCCGTCCGCCCACCGCTCTATTTTCAGGCATAGACTTTAAGCAGAAACTGATTAATCTCGATGGGGTGCCCATAAAACTGCAAATCTGGGACACGGCCGGGCAGGAGCGTTTCCGTACTTTGACGACGGCGTACTATCGGGGCGCCATGGGCATACTACTCATGTACGATGTAACCAATCTGGAGAGCTACAACAATTTGTCCTACTGGTTGCGCAACATCCAGGAGAATGCCTCGCCCGATGTGGTAAAGGTGCTGGCGGGCAACAAATGCGAATGCTCCACCACACAAAGGATGGTCGACAAGGACAGGGGCGAAAAGGTGGGTGCCACTTGAGGATATTATTGCGATACATTAACTTATACATACATATATCCAACAGATTGCCGAGAACTTTGACATGCCCTTCTTTGAGGTCTCGTGCAAATCGAACATCAACATTGAGGATGCGTTTCTGTCGCTGGCCCGCAAAATACGTGAGCAACGAGAGCGAAGGGTAGGCATTAAAGTGCATTTATCTGTGGAGATTTATTTGACAAATTTCGTATCTATAGGGCGACAATTTTGACAACGAGGAGAACAAAGACAAGAAATCCCCTGGATCGAATGGCCTCGGCACCTTCAGCCTCGGCAGTCTATCCGGCGAGAATCGCTGCACCTGCTAGATGATAGATGATACACGAGATGCGATTGCAACCGCAAACCGAATACCGAAAACCTGAGAAAAAAGTTGTCCAAAGCTGTTGAAGCTGCATTGTAGCCGAAGTACGTGCATACCCAATGCCAAGAAATTACAAGAAACCAAAGCGCGAGATGAACATTTTAAATGCAAACAATAGGGTCGATGGGAGGCAGGGGATGCCTGTGCCAGATTACATTCGAAATATGTATGGATCATACAGATTGTGCATTTTAAGGGTACAGATAGTATAGTCCAAAAACCTAGCATAAATATTTTAGCATATTCCTGCAACTACCATAACTCGGTCGATTAAACATGCATATTGTCTCGATTCCAATAATTATAATCTAATGCTAAAAATACATTTATACTCGTAAGAAAAGAAACACTTGTTCTTGCTGCCGATCCATTGATTGTTTCATTCCCTTTTTGTAGGTCAATTTGTCCATGGAAAATCCATTACAGAATAGGCAAATCTTTAATGATTATTCCGTATGTTACTAATGGATTGACTTTACAAACAATTTCTGTGCAAGTACTGGAATAATTCCTAGATTAAGGGCTGATTAATGGTCGTTTTGGGTGGTTTATTGCAAGTATTTCTTGGCTCTGAGATATATATCTTTTCATTCCATTTAACGTCGATCAATCAGATTAGTATTCGTGCAAATATTGCCTCCAATGTGCCCCTTCCATGCCAATGGTGTTTCCTTATATGATAATTGCACTATTTACATTCCCGTGCCTTGGGGGTGTCGTGTCCAATTATTCGAATTTGCTGATAACAATTACCTTGCGGCGCCTAGCAACGGGCTTGACCACAACGCGGGCACCCACATGCCAGAGGACAGTTATACAACAGACAGGAGCTGCGATTCGATTCGATTTTATGCGCCCACCGCCGCTGGTTGTGTCCGGGAGATGAAAAAGCTGCGTGCCAAGGCGAGCTCCCTGCCCATCTTCAATGGCAGGATAACTGATGCCACATCCTTGACCACGACATCGCTGAAACTGCCTCTGGGAGGCGGAGTGGCCAACAAGAAGCCTCCGTCCACCTGCACCCGAGTGCTGCCGACAGTGTTCACCATCACGGACGGCACTACTGGGGCGGCCAACACCTCTCTGGCCGAGGCCATGTCCAGCAGCAAGGCGCCACAGCCACAGCCACACCCACACTCCCACCAGCAGTCGGCCAGACAAGGGGTCATGCTGCAGCTGGGGGTGCCCAAGGAGACCATCAGCATTGCGGGGCCAGAGCTGGCCAACTACGAGAAGGTGCGTGTCGTCGGACAGGGATCCTTTGGCATTGCCATCCTGTACCGCCGCAAGTCCGACGGCCATCAGATTGTCTTCAAGCAGATCAACCTGAGCGAACTGACGCCGCCGGGCCGGGACTTGGCCATGAACGAGGTGGACGTGTTCTCGAAGCTCCATCATCCGAACATCGTCAGCTATCTGGGCAGCTTCATCAAGGACAACACGCTGCTGATTGAAATGGAGTACGCGGACGGGGGCACCCTGGCGCACATCATTGCCGAGCGTCAGGGCCAGCAGTACTTCCCGGAGCGCTACATCATAGCCGTGTTCGAGCAGGTCTCCAGTGCCATCAACTACATGCATTCGGAGAATATCCTGCACAGGTTAGATAGCACCCATTGCCACTCGAAAGTCCTTTGCTCTCCCATGTATCGATTGCAGGGACTTGAAGACCGCCAATGTCTTCCTGAATAGACGGGGCGTCGTCAAGATCGGCGACTTTGGCATCTCCAAGATAATGAACACCAAGATCCATGCCCAGACCGTACTGGGCACGCCCTACTACTTCAGCCCCGAGATGGTAAGTGTCTAGCCCAGCCTCCCGCATCAGAGGATCATCCGAAACGCTCTCCGTTTCCAGTGCGAGGGCAAGGAGTACGACAACAAGAGCGACATCTGGGCCCTGGGCTGCATTCTGGGCGAGATGTGTTGCCTGAAGAAGACATTCGCTGCCTCCAATCTCTCCGAACTGGTCACCAAAATCATGGCCGGCAACTACACGGCGGTTCCCTCCGGCTATACCTCCGGACTGTGCAGTCTCATGTCGAACCTGCTCCAAGTGGAGGCTGCCCGACGGCCCACCGCCTCGGAGGTGTTGGTCTACTGGATACCCCTGATATTTCGCAGCCTGGGAAAGAACAAAGGGTAAGGATAGGGTCACTTCAGAGACCTGCAAGATGATCTTTTATACCTTGTTGCTAGCTACTCCTACGAGGACGGCATCAGCAGCACTGGCAACCATCTTACAGCAACTGTTCCCGCCGCTGCCCGCAGCAGTGTGACGATGGATCTGGAGCTGCCCACCGCCCAGACGGAGACCAAGCAGCTGATGAGCGCCGAGACAGCCGCACCACACGAGATCCTCGAAAAGAGGTATGCAATCGAAAGATATCACTCCGCTTGACCTCCGATCGATGCCCCTTTAGATCGGTGCTGTATCAGCTGAAGGCATTCGGGAACTCCTTCAGCATGTCGCCCATCCAGCTGCCCCCGAAGGCGGTCATTGTGGGCATGGCCATGAGCGATTCGCACTTTGTGGTGGTGAACGAGGATGGATCGGCGTACGCCTGGGGCGAGGGCACCCACGGCCAGCTGGGCCTGACCTCGCTGGAGGCCTGGAAGCACTACCCCAGCCGCATGGAGAGCGTGCGCAACTACCATGTGGTGGGAGCCTGTGCCGGCGACGCCTTCACTATCCTGGTCACCCAGGCCGGCAGTCTCCTCAGCTGCGGCAGCAACACGAACCTGTCGCTCGGCCAGGACGAGCAGCGCAACTACCACAGTCCCAAGCTGATTGCCAGGCTATCGGACGTGCGCATCGAGCAGGTGGCAGCGGGTCTGCACCATGTCCTGGCCCTGAGTCGCGAGGGCGCCGTCTACGTGTGGGGCACCAGTGTGAGCGGCGCCCTCGGCTTGGGAAACTATCAGCAGCAGCAGTGAGTGATGGGAGCAGACACCCCTCCAATCCTTTGATTGCAATGGCCATTTTTCTCCCTCAGGAAGTTTCCCCAGAAAATCCTGCTCTCCCATGTGAAGACCAAACCCACGAAGATATTCTGCGGGCCAGACACCTCGGCCGTGCTCTTTGCGAATGGAGAGCTGCACGCATGTGGGAGCAATGATTACTACAAGCTAGGGTTCCACCGTCCCGGCAAGATTACGGCTTTCGTAAGTAATCCTGCCCTGCCTGACTGCCACTCAATTCTGTACTCTGTCTGTTCCCAGAAAAAAGTCCAACTGCCGGGCAAAGTGCTGAAGGCCAGCTTCTCGTCCACCCACTCGGTGTTCCTGCTGGAGGGCGGCTATGTCTACACCATGGGTCGCAACGCGGAGGGTCAGCGAGGCATCCGTCACTGCAATTCAGTGGATCAGCCCACCTTGGTGGAGGCAATACGCGCTCGATACATTGTGGTTTGTAACCAGTCAGAGGACTCTCTGCTCTGCATCTTCCATCACCGCTTAGTGACTACCTTTCCTCCCGCAGAGGGCCAACTGCAGCGACCAGTGCACGATTGTGGCCTCGGAGGACAACATCATCACCGTCTGGGGCACTCGCAACGGCTTGCCTGACATCGGGTCGAGCAGCAGCGGCGTGGGCCTGGAGGTGTGCACCCCCAATACCGACATGGACCTGGGCAACAATACGGCGGCGTTTACCAACTTTCTGGCGTCGGTCTACAAGTCCGAGTTGATTCTGGAACCGGTGGATATATTGGCGTAGGTTCCATCAAAGGTTTCTGATCCTCAATCCTCTTGAATCTTCCTCATGTTCTTTGGCAGACTCTATTCCTCCAAGGAGCAGTGCGACCGTGGCTATTATGTGCAGGTGCATGACGTCTATCCTTTGGCGCACAGTGTGCTCGTTCTGGTGGACACCACCACGCCGCTTATATCGTCGTACGAGGGCGACTGTCCTTAGAAATGTATCTATTTAATGCTGGTCCTGCGACGCACAAGCAAATGCTGCAAAAGAGAACAAAACATTCTCGATTCATGATTTGTGTTATGATATATCGTACTTTAATTGTTAATACATTTATTGGTTTCCAAATGTAATTGTAGAAACTTAATCTACTGCTAAAACAAACTAAAATATAGAGACAGCGCTCCATGGCGCTGTGTGGGGAAAGTCAGTGGGGCGGCACGAGATGTATATTGGTGGAGTCTATTGGTGCGTCTATTGCCATATAAAATGCACATTGCCCGTGCCAAGCGCCTAGTAGCGCGACACCTGATTGCCGTAGCGGTCCTGGGCCGGGCGACTGCCGCCGTACATGCCCCCAGTACCGCCACCGCCGCCGCTGTTTCCCTGATATCCGCCCGTTGAACGATCGTTGTAGCTCCGATCGAAGCGACTCTGGGCCGGCAACTGGCGCCAGCCATTGTCGTCGACTGTGGCCGATTTCTGCCACGAATTGTTGCTATGCATATTCGAGGACATGCCGTTGCCGTAGGACTTGATCGGTGCGCCACTGGATCCAAGGTGGGAGCCACCCGAGGAGGGTGCCCAAATGTTGACATTGCTCGAATTGCTGCCATAGCCTCCGCCGCCACCGCTGCTGGTGGAGTTCTCATAGCGCTTGGCGCCGCTGCTACAATCGGGAAGAACAAGCATTAATCACCTTACTTTATAGAATTATTCAAATGCTCGCTCTTACTGCTGCTGGCTGTGAGAATCGTCGCGACGGTAGTTGGAGGTGGTGTTGCTGCGATCGGAGTCGTTGTAGCGGCCACCGGTGCCTAGGGTTGAGTTGTTCTTGTGGACATAGGTACCGGCTCCACCGCCACCACCGCCGCCAGCATTATTCTTGTGCAAGTAGGAGCTGCTCGAGCCACCGGCACTGCCCGAGATGGGCATGTGACGCACCTCGACCTCGCGCTTGTAGTCGTCACGCTTGCTGGACGAGCTATAGTCGTGCTTCGAGCTGGAGGCACTGTAGTCGTTGCCGCCCGAGCGCTTGCTCGGCACTGAGGCATAGTCGTCGACCGCGCCACGCTTCGAGGTAGACGACGTGCTGTAGTCGTTGCGCTTGTTCGTATAATCCAGACGCTTGTTGGTGCTCGAGTAGTCGTCTAGCACGCGCTTGGCGGCCGACGAAGAGCCATAGTCATCGTGCTTCTTATCATAAGTGCTGCGGCCGACAAAGAGCGGTACTTTTAATAGACGATTTTATCGCAGAGCAGAGGGGAACACTCACCTGCGAGAGCTGACTAGAGATGCGTCGAACCTTGGCGGAGGTGGGGCATCGAATATACCACTGCGCTTGCGATCGGCCACATCGCCGTAGCGATCATCCGCACGCTTGGCCACGGCCCGCTTGACAGGATCATCGCGCGACTCCATAATCCTGATGGTCGGTGGTTCGGGGATACGGCCAAACAAGAGTGAGAGGAAGAAAGATGAAAAGAGGAAACGTAAATTTAGTTAATAATCTTCAGGTAGAGGGGAAGATGGGGTCGGTGGAGAGGACGTCAGACTTTAGACTAGGATGCACAATGCGTTCGCCTATCAATGTTCCGTTTTTGAAGCAGTTGAAGTTCGAGTTGAGGAAACGTCAACAACACAACGTGGAGGCTGCTGCGACTTAGCTTAAACACACACTTAGAAACACGGACAAATCAAATGCTCTCCGGCAGTGAAAAGAATATATAAATATTGTTGTGGCTAGGGCGTTGGAACGAACGGGTGCCGTGCCACGCAATACGGATTTGTTTTATGTTTGGTTTTGTTTGTTTTTTAGCATACTTCATCTGTTGACGCTTCAGCTCGAGGCGCTCCAGTTCGATTTTCTCGCGCTCCAGCTTCTGGCGCTCCCGCTCCATGCGCAGCAGTTCGGCCTTCTCGCGCTCGAGGCGCTCCCGCTCAACGGCCAGCTTGCGTCGCTCCTCCGCGAGGCGCTCCTCCTCGATGCGCTGGCGTTCGCGTGCCTCGCGACGGCGGCGTTCCTCTTCGCGCAGCTCGCGCTCACGCTCGCGCAGACGCTGGCGTTCGCGCTCCTCACGGATCTTCTGGTACGAGAGCATCTCCCGTTGACGTCGCTCGCGGTCGCGCTGGCGCGCCTGGATCTCACGGTCGACGTCGCGCGGATTGCGCCCGGAGCGATGGTTGTCCTGATTGGAGCCCTGACGCTTGTTGTGGCCACCACCTGGTCCGGATCGTGACGTCTCGCGATCATGACGCCTGTCGTGGCTGACAGACTTGTCCTTGTCGTCGCGGCGCTTGTTGTGGCGCTCCCTGTTGTCCTTGCCGTCGCGCTTGGAGTCACCGCTGGCGGACTTGGTGTCGCCTCCATCGTTGTTCTTGCTGTTCTTCTCGGCGTTGCCGTTGTGGTTGCCCTTGCCGCCACCGCCACCGCCCCCAGACTTCTTGTCGTCATCCTTTTTCTTGCCGTCTTGCCCCTGAGTGGCCTTGTTGTTGCTGTTGTTGTTGCCCTTGCCATCCTTGGAGCTGGCACTGCCCCCGATCTCGTTCTTGGTGCGCTCCACCGAAATGATGCGCCCATGCAGCTCGGTGCGGTGCAGATTATCGATGCACCGCGAGGCATCCGCCGACGAGGACATGGTCACATAGCCGTAGCAGCGGGTGCCCGGGGTCCGGGTGTTGGTCACGACCTTCGCACCGATCACCTTGCCGAACTTGGAGAAGATCGCCTTGAGGTCGCTGGCCCGCGTGAGGGTGGACAAGCCGGAGACCCAGAGATTGCGTGACAGCGTCGTCGCCTTGTTGTTGTTGGACGCGGAGGATGTCGATGCTGCCCCCACAGATCCGGCAGCACCCGATCCCGTGCCCGATCCGGATCCGGACTTGCTGCCAGCGGCACTCGATGCGGCGGACGAAGCTGCCCCAGCGGCTGCTGTCGCTGATTTCTCTGCAAGTTCCATGTAAATAATAATATTGGAAGAGAGTTATGGAGTGGCTGTAACTGGTTAACGGTTAACGTTTTTGGTTTATGATACGATCTTTAAGGGAAGCATTTGTCAAACATTTTGCCCACGGGCACACACACATTCTGTAGCTGCTGCTGGTATTGGTGGAGTTGGAGTTTAGAGCGTAAGGTAAATCGTAATCGTAATCATCACGAGACTTTCTTCGAAAGAGACCCCGTCGCCCCGCAAAATGAAGGAAGCAAAGAGAGTGTGAATTGGGTTGGGCTGCTGCTGCTGCTGCTGCTGCTACTGGTCTTCTTCTGCGTCTGGGAAGTCCTGGGAATAGAGTAAAGTTACCCCTGATCTGCGTCATTCCTGCGCCATTTGTGGTGTGTGCCGTCCTTTAAGGGGAAATTTCTCGTAGCTTGAAACTCCTTTGTGCTCTGCTCTGCGTCGTTCCTCGTCGTTCGATTGATTTAGATGGCGGCGAGTGGGCAGGAGTTATCTTCCAGGTGCCACTTCTTCCTGCAAGTCCAGATTGCAGCCAGTGGATTGGTGCCAGCCGTAAGTCTCCATCCGGAGTTTTCAGTTGTTGACATTTCAAGATGAATTCTGCCACAGATTTTTGCATGTGCTTTCTTTGAAACAATTTCATTATCCACTCTCTCTCTCTCTCTCTCTCTCTGTCCGTCTCAGCAATGCGGCTCATCTGACTCCGGGGAATCCCTCGATACTCCTTTGCCCAAGTCGCGTCCTCGTCAGGTCTGTGTGTGTGGGGTGGTGGGGCCGGCCATCTCTCCGTGGTGGGGCCCAACCAAATTCACACTCTCTTGCCCGAAAATATACCACATATTCTTCTGCTCAACATTAAAGTTGATCGAAACTTAAACTAGGATCATGCTTGGCCCAAGCAATCCGTTCCCAACGTGTAACTCTCCGAAATTCACTGATCCTAGCCATGCGGAAACCATGACTTAATTTACCTTTATCATCCTTTTGGCTGGACGACTTTGAAGATAGCTTCTGATCACTGGAGCACCGATCGAAAGTTCGGAGTAGAGAAACAAGAATAAACACATTAGAACGGAAACCAGAAGGACTACATCGAGTGCTAGCCTGCTAACCTGGCTTCCTTTTTATCAGCGGACTTATCATCCTTTTTCTTGTCATTTTTCTTATCGGCATCCTTCGCGTTGGCCTTATCTGATTTATTGGCTGGTTTCACTGTGAAGCAAAGAGTGTTCCAGCGTAAATTACTAAGCCTAGAATCTTAATATTAACCTTCACTCACCAGACTTGATGGATTTGTCATCTGGAGCCTACGATGGGGAATAGAATGCAAATTGGATTAGGAAAATTTAATTGAATAAATTATTCAATTTATTGTGTCACCTCATCGTGCAGTAGTTTTTGTTCGTCTTCACCAATTGTTAGATTGATGGACTCGTCGTTGTCCAGGTTCACCGTGTCGCCGGTGTTCTCCTCTTCCCCTTGAATTTCATTGACGGACTCGACCCCGCCGTTGTTATCGCCCTCTTCTGGGGCATCCTCGGCCTCGCCGTCCCCATCCCCATCGGCATCACCTTCAGCTTCGCCGTTTTGCTCCTGCTCCTCGTCGTATTCCTCCTCGTCTTCGTCATCGTCAAGAATCACACAGACATCGTCCACGTCGCCCACCTGATCTATTTCGTGGCCATCCTGTTCCGCATGGCGGGATAGGTCATCACCATTCTCATTGTCTAAACGCATGTGCTCGTCTTCATCGACGGGCTCCTCCTTGATTTTGATTCCGCCCTCATTCTCCGACATTGGCATTGGGCAGGGCTTTTTGCCCTTTACAGCCGGCACAATCAAATGGGTGGCCGGGTCGAGACCCTCACCTTTAAGTGCCTGGAAAAATACAACACACAGACATACAATAGAGACGCACGCACACACACACGCGGACGAAATTGCACAATCATTTTTTCCATCTTCTAAAGGGATTTCAACGCCTTTACTTTGTGCACTGAACAAATGGGGGCGGGTATGTACTTTACCTTTTCTAAGCGATCGATGAGCGCAGCCTTTGGACCCAAAGTGTCCAGCTTGCGTTTTTCTAGCTCATCTTTCAAGTCGCAGACCCGCAACTCGGATACCTTCTTGCCTAATTCGGGCATCTTCGCGTGCACTTGATCACTTGGTCAATATCTAGTTACTTAAACAACGCTTGATGCACTTATAAACCGAAATGAAATGAAGTTCTCTCTACAATTTATTTTCACAACGTGTAAAAATCGCAGTCAAGTAAATACATACAGAAAACGAAAATGGCGACGATAACAGTGTGACTTATCGATGATAAAACGAACTTGCCCCACTTAAGCCCCTTTATTTAAACAGGATAACTACTTCAGTTAAATAGCGGAAAATAATACTAATAATAATAATAAAAACTATTGTAGGTCCATCCTATCCATCATCTTCAGCAAAAAAAAAAAAACGACCACGATATCTGCCACCTGAACTGCGCTAGAATTCGTCATTCATATATGGTGGGTGAAGCGTATTAAAGTAGCCACTGGTCGACAATGGGTTAATCTTTCTCTATCCATGATCGGAAATCATATATGTTGATATTATGTCTAATAATAATGATTTTTTTAGAGGATATGCCTATTTTAAGTTGTCTCTTTTATTGGATTTTGTTTGTATACGTTTAAACACGGCTGGCTGATTCATGATGATGCGGCGGTGGCCGAACGCCAGTGCCGAAGATCCTGGGATCTAATCCAGAAAGTTCGTTTGCGACTTTATGTAGTGCATGGATAGTGTTTTTATTCAAGGGAAATAATTTCAGAAATATTGAGAGAAAGATTTAGTGTTATTCCATATTCCATATACCATATTAACATCGTTTCTCTATCGATACTTACCAACCGATGTTGCCACCTCTATCCCATCTTTAGGGTGTTTTGTCAATAATTTTCTGTTTTCTGTTTATGGGTGTTTTTGCTGATTATTGTGAAGCTGCATCATGTCCGTGGTGATTGAGACCACGCTGGGCGATCTGACCGTCGATCTATTCACAACCGAACGCCCCATCGCATGCCTGAACTTCCTAAAGCTCTGCCGGCTTAAGTACTACAACTACAATCTTTTCCACACCGTGCAGCAGGGATTCATAGCGCAGACCGGGGATCCCAGCGGCGCTGGAGATGGCGGCTCCTCCATCTGGGGCGTTGTGGAGGGCCCACAGAAGCGCTTCTTTGAAGCCGAATACCTGCCCAAGATCCACCACTTGAATGCCGGCATGCTGTCACTTGTGAGCGCAGGAAAGAACCTAGTGGGCTCTCAGTTCTTCTTCACCCTGGGGGAGGACCTGACATCGCTGGATGGCACCCACTGCGTCATTGGCGAGGTGGTGGAGGGTCACGAGGTGCTGCGCCAGCTGAACGATGCCATTGTGGATGAAAAGTTTCGCCCCTACCAGGACATACGCATAACTCACACGGTGGTACTGGAGGACCCGTATCCCAATCCACGTGGCCTGCAGGCGCCCAGCCGCTCGCCATCGCCCAGTGCCGAACGGTTGAAGAACGGTCGCATCGCCGCCGACGAGGACATCGACGACACCGACGGCATGACAATGGAGGAAATGCAGGAGATGCTGGCCGATCGCGAGGCCAAGGCCCGTGCCACTATACTCGAGATCGTGGGCGATTTGCCAGATGCGGATATGGCCCCCCCTGAAAACGTACTCTTCGTGTGCAAGCTCAATCCGGTCACGACGGACGACGACCTGGAGATCATCTTCAGTCGCTTTGGTGTGGTGAAGGGATGCGAGGTGATACGCGATCGGAAGACCGGCGACTCCCTGCAGTACGCCTTTGTGGAGTTTGAGGAACAGAAATCCTGCGAGGCTGCCTACTTCAAAATGGACAATGTCCTGATCGACGACCGCCGCATACACGTAGATTTCTCCCAATCCGTGTCGAAGGTTACGTGGCGCGGCAAAGGACGTGGCGTGGAGGGCGTTGACGGCAAGCTGGACTTTGACAATCTACGGGACAACAATGAGCGGAGGCCCCATAACAACGGCAGGGGCAGAGACAGAGACAGAACTGATGAGCATCGGGATCGCAAGAGGCCTGACGATCCGAGAAGTCGAATGAGCTCCGCGGAGCGTCGAAAGGCGAGAGAACAACGCCACCAGGAACAGAACGAACATCGGGACAATCGAAGGCGTTCCCGATCCAGAGATCGAAACGAGCGAAGAAACCCAAATGAGAGGCAGATCAGGGAGGGCAACGATGGAAAACGTTTCAATGATCGCCGGCGCTCATCATCCAGGGATCGTATCAATCGAAGAGATCATCGTATGGACATGAGAAGATCCAGATCCAGAGATCGCAACGAACACAGGCGAGAGAGATCCCCACAAGGAGCCAGACATTATGGTCAAAGCAGAGAACCCATCAGGAACAGAGATAATGGATCAGAGAGAAGGTTTGTCGCCTGAATTCTCTACCAACCTTTCACTGTATTAACCCAAATTGCTTTTTAGGCCCCAGCAAAGACATCCTGAACCCAGAGACCGCGATGAACGGAATCTGGATAGAAATTCAAAAAGGATCGAACGCAAGGAGAGTCCTGAAAGGAAACGTAAGCCCTCAGCACCAGTAGAAAAGAAGGAGAAGAGCCAGAAGGTAGCAAGGAAGAAGTCGAAGCGTGCAGCCAGCAGCAGCTCAGACTCCAGCGATGACTCGTCGGACAGTGAAAGCGATTCCGATTCCACGTCCTCGGATAGTTCTGAGGAGAGCTCTAGCTCCTCTTCCTCCTCGGACGAGCGCAGCAAGCGCAAGAGGAGCAAGAAGTCGAAGCAGAAGAAAGCTCAGTCGAAAAGCAAACACAAATCGAAAAAGAGACACCATGGAAAATAAAATAAAGCGATTTTCTTGACTGGAACATACACAGGATTTTGACTACATCTAAAATGTTTCTAGTTCTCTACTTCTTACGAGCTGCCACCTCCGCCTCGAGCGCCGCCATCGCCGCGCCACCACAGCAGCCTTCTGTGGGTTTGGCCCCACGGCGTTTTCGAGGCGACTCGATGATGGCATCCGGATTGAAGACTACATTGTCCATTCGTGTCGTCTCTGGCGTTATGCGGAGCTCTATAAACATTAAATTATGTCGTATATAGTGCCATGGGAATGTTTATGTAATGGGCAACCCACCATATACGCCGTCCTCTCGTTTGTGGGCCTGGATAACATTAGCGCGCAGCTCTTGGGCACATTCCTCCGCCAGTTTGATCTTCTGTAAGTCGGGGGTGATTAGAAAGGACACCAATTTAATGCTTTATCCAATGCATACGTTCTGAATATCATCCTGGTCGGTCACGACTCGGTTCTGCCGAAATTCGTCGTTGATTTTCTGACGTGCCTCTTCCAACGCCCGAACGTCGCCATCGAATACGTACTGCCGCGTGCGATGGAGCTTCTTGAAGGCACTGAGAGCCTACAATTTGAGGATTAACGTTGGTTTAAATGTTTAAATTATACGTTTAATTTACCTGGCGCCGCAAATTAGACATTTTTTTGATGGGTCACAGCTGATTTTGATTAGTGTATTATATATCGGTATCGGTATTAAATCTGGTATTAATTCGACATCAAATGAATCCGTTAAATTTAACTGTTGTTAACAAATATTTAATTATTAAATATTAAATCGATGTTAAAGGCTACTCTAACGATCATCCGACATCCATTTCGGGGATGGTCCGTAAGGTCTTGCCGTTCCGGAATTTCCCAGTTAGTCCACCATCCATTTTGGATGTTCCTAAACCGCACGTTTCTATGCGATAGTTATCCGATGGTTTTCAAGTCCAACATATGCGACAAATTTCAAATCTTAATTCGAACTTTAAATCGTTGAAGACTAAAACAAAAAGAAAAAATACAACAGACACAATACAAAAAGAGGAGACCAGAAATTGGTGCTAAAAAGTAAAGATATGTATGTATTTGCTATATCTTTCTATAATTAGTATTTTACAGCCATCATGCGGATTGTCGGGTGTCCTGAAATAATTCCGTTAATGTCGACCGGACAGATCCAACTGCGGCTCTAGTATAATTTCTGCAACCAAGGTGCCTCACCGAAGCGGATTAAACTGGAAAAATCGTCTGGAGAATGTTCGGAAAAGCGAGAGATACTCCAGCAAATGGCGTCCAAAGAGTAACGTTTATTGTACATATATGGAAGGTTTAATTATAGCCAACAATATAGCCAATTTGCTAATTTAAAATTGTGAATCATGTAATTTTATGCTCATCATGGCGTTTAACAGCTGTCAAAAAATCCCACTGTTCCTCCGGGATGTGCTCAGTGTGCAGAGCCTGTTAACAGCGATGTTTTTTCTCAAGCATCGATGTTTTCATTAGATTTACACCAGCATATTGCATTTTGAGAAACAATAAATTCGACCGTAATCAGCTGATCATAGTTTTTGGTATTTTAGCCTCTGCCTCGTACGGTCATATTGTTGATAAATTTTACTGCGGCGCTCGGTCGTTATTCGGACGCAAATTAAAATAAATTTGGTCGCCCCTGCAACTCGGTGCGGAACGAAATGCGGTTGCAAAAATCTATCTAAATTAATTTTAACCATCCAAAGTCAGCTAGGGCGGTCGTGTCAAGTGAAATATTCAACATTTAAGTCAAGAAATTACAACTAGAACAGCGCGTGCCCCTTTCCCCCGCTGTTGTAATCGTGTTGTTCGTTGTGCGTGTGTGTCGTCACGGGGAAAAAGTGAAATTAGCTACCCATAGGAATTCAGTTGACATAGGGGAATCTCTCCGGCTGTCTAAACTTGGCGTGTCTGTGTTTGTGAACTGATTTTAAATAAAATAAACAAAACTGGCCCAGTCTCAGGCTACGACCGATAGGCTATCCTCGTTCCTCATGGACGAGGAGGAGGAGGAAGTCACCGATCTGAAGCTGCAATTGTTTCACAATACAGTACGCGAGCACATTGTAAGTGAACCTCTGTACTTCCACCCCAAAAAAAGGTTTCCAGAGACATAATCAGAACGCATCCAGTGGCAGCTGCCGTTGCAGCCGGACTTTTCCTAGTTGTAACTGTACTGTTCGTTGCGGGAGGGCGCCAGTGTCTGAGCGTGTGCGTGCGTGCGTGTGTGTGTGAGGCCTGAAATTACATTATAAATTTGATAAACAATTTTATTTGTTTATGGCTGTTATCCGACTCGGGTGTCAGCGTTTTCTGCGCCTGCGTTCGCCTTGTGTATAATTTATGGTTGATTATCGGAGAGGAAGTGGAGGGAAGAGGCGATTGTGGCCACTTCTTTGCACTTTCTATTTGGGTTGCAAAAAAATTATCGCAAAAAAACACGCACACAAACATAAACACCTGTTGCTAATCGGGTGTGTGTGTGTAAAGATAAGCAAGGGGCTAGTTCGAACGGCTGATACTCGGTAAGGGGAGATTTAGGAGGGGAAAATTTATTATGACAGATCTTTAGGCTAGATAATTTTCCATATGAATATGTGGGCAAGTAAAAAGAGAGAGACATTGATTTGTGTAGATAAGGTTTAGCCAAATTAGTCCTCTTAAAGGTACAGCCGTGGCCAAGAGTGCATACCCCATACCCTACCCCATACAGGGCAACAGGGTCAGGCAAAGTTCAGCAAGAAGACAGAAGAAAGAGAAGGAGAAGCAGAACATGCAAATTGAAATGAAACGGTAAAAGCAACAACAAAATAATGAGGAAGAAGGAGCACAAAAGCAACAAGTGAAAGTGTTGCCCCGCGAGCAAGCGGTCTATTTATAGACATATTGGGCGTTTAATAACCAAAACAGAAACAAAATTTATACACACACATGTGCATGTGTAAGTGCAACATATAAGCAATGTTTACGGGATTGCGCAAAGCATAAATCTCACATGTTTTTTCTTCGTCTCGAAACAATTTAAACAACATTTTTGAAGAACACTTGTGCAGACCCAAGCGATTTTCAAGTGCATGGCAAATGCTGCTCCGAAGGTCCGTCGTGACCAGCAGCTGCTGGCTTTTGTTTAAACAATGGCAGTCGAGGCGTTAAATACATTTCAAATTGTTCAAATTACTCAGAAAAACACACATTTATTTATATTTAGGCTCTTCAAAAGTAGCCATCGACTTAAATATAATCATTGCCGATGGTTTTGGGTCCAGGAAATGGAAACCAGTTCTTTATTGAAGCACATTTCCCATTGCATGGCATTGCCGAAAATTGAATAATGCCGCCCCGCCCCGCCCCGCCCCACAGGCAGAATGTGGGTCAGATTAGAGGTACGTGAGCTCTGGCCAGAGCCCAAACCGAATGCGATTGACTGCCAAAGCATTCATGAATAATGCAGAAGCCCACCCAAAACCCGAAACAGAAGAACCAGTGAGGGGGCGGGAGGGGGCAGGTGGGAAGCCGGCTTTCCAGCCCACACCATGGGACGCATGAGACGCCTTGGGTAACCACATTGTGGGGCACGTTCTTAGTCATTTTCTTGCAACTGTTTTGTGCCGTGTCCAGCGATAAGAACCGTGATTAACTGTAAAGTGAAGAAATTCCTCAAAGATCTTCCAAGAATAGCTTTTCAAAGAAAGTCTCGAATGAAATTGAAAAGATTGTGCTTTCTGTTTTCTGTTTTTGTTCCCTCTGCCACTGATCCCCACTCTTACCGATTGTCAACTCGGTGTCTAAAAACATCTTTCACCTTGTGCAATTAAATTATGTGCTGAAATTTCTATAGTTTGGACCATTAGATACCCCTTAATTAGAGATGGAGCAGACAAGACTTTTATTCTACACTTGAAAGCCTTTCAAGGTCTTGCCTTTACCCTCTAAAACTCTACAACTCTTTGATTTTTCACTCGGTAAATACAATATTTTGCCAGCCCATTCACCGGCAAAGTTGTCTTCAAGCCAAGCAGCAACCAGTCTGACAAGATATTATAGTACATATAAAAGATACTCGTACTACGAGTGCTTCTCCCTCCCTCCTGCTGCCTGCTGCCTCCTGCCTGCAAATCGCCTTGCATTTTGGGCGTTGTTTCCTATTTATAGCCAAAGTCGGCGTCGACATTTAATGGGCGTTGTTTTCCTGCCAATTTCGATGTCGAGTTCATGTCAAGTCATTGACTCTTGATTTGGGGTATCTTTTGGTCAAAAGATATCACTTTCCGATAGAAATGCAGTTTGTTCGCGGGCAAAAAACCTCTTGGAGCGTGTCGTCGCACTCGTACTTGAAGCTCTCGTTGCGTTTTCATTCTGGAATGTGTACGGGCGGGGCAGAGGCAGAAGCTGCTCATATCTCATACATCGGACCGCGTCTACGTGTTCCAAGTTCAACGGAGAGAGAGAGGCACGTCATCGTGCCCAGTGGCATGAACAGTGCGTTTCAGAACCATAAGATAGGTGCCAGAGACTACAATTCAACGATCCATGGACTCTATTCCGAATCTCCCCACTCTACAGAGTTATGAAACTTGCATGTTCTATGATCGTTCCTCGCTCTGGAGTCTAGACGCTTGAATGTTCTATAAATAAGCGACGCACATTTGTTGATAGCAAATGCTTTTGCGTTGCTTTATTTGATTTTTTGGCAAGAAAACTGTTTAAATAATAATAAAATTCGGAACAGACTGTGGATCTGAGTTCTGCGACTCCCGAATGGCGAAAATAATTGAAGATAATTTGATTTAATTGCCTCTGATCACACCGAACCGATGGGGCAACCGATGGGGCATGCAAAAGTTAATTGGAATTTGCACGAATACTGCGCTGAAGAGTATCTCACAGATACAAATGCAACTATCTTGAATAACAAACAAAAGCGGACAATTAATTGCTATTTTTTGTTCCCTCTCTCACTCACTGAAAAACATGAAAAGTATCTTTTGTTAATGATTTATAGTATATATATGCGAAGCGCCTCTCCTCGCGTATCTATCCATCTATTTTTGTCTTGTTTTTGTTTGGTTTAAATAACAAACAAAAATACAGATGTATGACGTGGCCAAAAATGTTTCCCAGGCGAACTTTTGGGTGGCAAATATGCTTCCCGACATTCATTCATTCATTCCGCACATAATCGGACATATAGTAGGTTTTGTTCGGGGGATAATCGCCGAATGTTTGAAGTGGATGGATGACATTCAAATGGTTCTGGGTTGGTCTGCCGGGTCTTATCATCAATTGTCGTCGGCCACTGATAAGCCCTGCTTGTGACCCTTGGACGCCTCTATTGCTGCTGTCGTCGAAAGCATTGGTCGATTGGTGGCCATAATTAATCACCAATTATTGATTTGCTTGTAACCAAGGTGCTGCGACTTCAAGCGGTCGGGGAACATTCTGCGGTTGCTCTGTATTTATTCAAGACGAGTGGCTACGGGGTTTTACCCGATAGTACAACTGTACAAACAAATAAGCGAAATGGTAGACCCTTTCCAGACCATTTCCAGCTTTATGCTGGAATGGAATACATTTTGCCACATGACGTGTCATGACGTGCTCGGATAGTGCAAAAGGGAATGCCAAAAACAACATACATTGCGTGTGCCTGATGCTTTTAGGGTTTTTTTGGTTGGATATTGTAAAAGATATTTTTAATATATTTATTCCTTAGTTTCTCTGCAGTTTCCATGTTCTTTTCGCTATGAAAATACCTAAACCATTTAATAACTTTCCCTATATAGATAAAGTCCATTGTCAATGCATTGAAAAAACACTTGCTTTGATCTAAGAAACAAAAGCTTTTCAAAAGCATCTTTTGTCCAAGTTAATAGAATCTTCAATGGAATGTACTCGCACTTCTCTATAGATATGACCCTGAATCGGTGTGGAAACACTTGACAATAACAAAACAGACTTTGACACCCAGTACCTTCCTGATTCAGACAGAATTTTATAGAGATCTAGTTCCCAATCGTATCATACAGATGTGTGGGTGTGTGGGGTCTGCAAACATGCATTTACTTGAGTATAAATAAATATACTTTAGATCCGAGCAAATGTTTTGGCAGTTGGTAGACCGAAACGAAGCCCCAAAAAGCGACAAAATATTTGCATTTAAAGAAAAACCAAAGAAATGCGTGGGTGGGGAATAGGTTCAATATATACAGATAGATAGATAGATAGATAGATAGTTTATGGTTTCCCTGTTCTTCCTTTCAGATTTTCTTGCTGCTGATCATTCTGCTGTACTTTAGCTCCTATGTGGTCGTCTCACGTTTTCGGCGACGCGATCGTGACGATCTCTATTCGAACGACGAGGACGAGGTGCTGGTGTATCGCATAAGGTAAGGCATCCGATCCGCCGGAGAGGGAGTCAATAACCTCCCGGCCTGCCAATTGCCGCTTGACTTTGCTAATTGCCAAGTCAGTCGCGACTCGCGAGAGTGGCTGCATTCGGAGAGACATGCCAATGCCAGTGGCACTAATCAAAACGTTTTTCTTGCAGCTTTTGGCTCTGCACATTCACACTGGCCGTCGCCGAGGGGGCTGCCATGCTGCTGCCAGTCTCCATAGCCAGCAACGAGGTGCTGCTCTTGTATCCCAACAGCTACTACGTGAAGTGGCTCAACAGTTCCCTCATTCAAGGTAAGGACGCGAAGAACCCTCCCCCCCCCCCCCGGATTGATTAATATTCTGTTCTAAACCCCCTCTCCATTGTAGGTCTCTGGAATCATGTGTTTCTGTTCTCCAATCTGTCGCTGTTCATCTTCCTGCCGTTCGTGTATTTGTTCACCGAATCCACGGGCTTCGTGGGCCACAAGAAGGGCATCCTGCCGCGCGTCTACGAGACCTTTACAGTATTCATGCTGATGGCCGTCATTGTGCTGGTACTCACTGCAGTTCTAAGCGCAGTTTTCGGGATTGAAAAACTGCAGTTCTTTTGGTTTTTAAGTGAGTGAAACGATGTGCACTCCGCACCCAGTGCCATGGACTGGGAGCGGTTCCAGTCTGTCGCTCAGACAGCACTGCACCCTCTTCTGTAAATCTGTAAACAATCGCTGTACAATCCATTGCTAATTTCCGCTCTTTACGCTTCACAGATCTGGGCAGTGTTCACCTGCCGTTCCTTTATTCCTGTGTCTCGTTTCTGGGCGTAATGCTGATGCTCAGTGAGTATAAAATACAGTGTATATGTAATAAATTTAAGGCTTCTAGGTCTCTGCCTCCATCTGCTTGATGTACTTCTCGATGTAGGCCAGCTGCTTGGGATTGTGCTCGCGGGCCTTGGCCACGCTCTCCTCAAAGTCCTTCGTCTGTCCGAGACGCTTGTAGGCCGTGGCCTTGTACAGCCAGGCGCGCAGATTGGTCTCCTGCAGCTTGTCCACCACATGCTGGCAGTCCTGCAGAGCGCGCTTATAGTTGCGGAGCCTGAAAGAGCGAAGGAGAGCTTAAGGAGAGCCCAAAGGGCATCGGTTTCTGTGTACTCACTTGATGTAGCACAAGGCGCGATTGTTGTACGTTATGGCACTGTCTTTGATCTGAGCCAGGGCCTTGCCGTAGTGGAGAATGGCCTTTTCGTACTTCGCGTTGCGAAAGGCTTCGTTGCCATGGCTGTGGAAGCAGAGGAATGAAATCAGGGCCACAAGGATTGCCTGTATTGGGAGGATTACCTCTTTTGCACCTCCGCCTCGTACTCGCGCTTGGCCCGTGACTCGGCGCGCTCATTGGCGTCCTTCTCCACCTGCTGCATGAAGCTTTGCTGGTTCATGGTCTGCACCATTCCAGCCTCGTTCTTTTTGTCCTCCTCCAGGCTCTTGCGGTTGATCACAGTGCGATTCTCGCGCACCTTCAGGCGCACATTGTCGGGATCCAGTTTGTCAAAGTCAACGGCCGTCTTGGACTCGGCCGCTGCTGCCGCGTCTTGCTTCTCATCGCTCTCGTGCAATATGTCTTCAATCTTCTGCAGAGTGGCCTCGAACTCGGAAAAGTCGTCAAGTCCCTTGCTAGTCATTTTGTGCTCTGTTCTGGAATATAATCCGATCCGTGCTGCTGCTCTTTCGAAGTGAATTTGTTTTTTTAGACTGTTTATTTGTCATGGAATGTCATGGAAACGGGCAAGGGGCACTTTGTTTACTTTGTTTGTTTGTTTTTTCTTCCCTAGTTTGCACTCCCTGCGGATTTGTGCGGCTGTTTGGCGTTGTCAACCAGGTGCTGGTGCGTCCCATGCTGCGGCGGGATGTGAACGAGGAGTTCGACGCCTTCTTCATGGAGGAGGCGAGCGTCAAGCGGAAGTTGGCCCACATTGAGCTGTACAACGTGAGCATTGCGGATGCCACCAATGGCCACCATCGAAATGGCCGCAGTCGTGGATACCTTCACCCGTCCTTGCTGCAACAGTCGCTGGAGCACCTCTACCAGCGCAAGCCGACGGGCTTCAACGCGAGCGAACAGCAGCTGAACGAAAGACTGAGAGAATTGGACTGTGAGCGCAAGGAGCTGGACAAACAGCGCAAGTCGAGCACGTTCCAGCGTTCGTTTGTCTATCCGCTGGCCATGCTGCTGCTGCTCTTCTGCACGGGCATGACCATTCTATTGGTGGTGCAAAACACGCTCGAGCTGCTCATAGGAATCAAGGCGCTGCCGTTGAGCACAAGGGTAGGTCGCCGAGCGAGGCTTTTGGCCGTTTCTCCTAATGGAATTCTGATTCTGTTTTGCAGCAATTCACGCTGGGAATTTCATCGCTGTCGAAGCTGGGACCCTTTGGCGCCGGACTGGAGGTTTGCCTCATCTTTTATCTGGGCGCCACCTCTGTGGTGGGCTTCTACAGCATGCCCTTCATGCGCACTGTGCGCCCCAAGCGGCACCAGACCTCACTGCCCCAGCTAATGCTAAACTGTGGCTTCATGCTGGTCCTGTCCTCGGCCCTTCCGCTGCTCAGTAGGATTATAGGTACTCGTAATCGTATATGCTAGAATGACTAAAAAATGATTGGCACTAACATCCACACCCACCCATAAACAGGCATTACAAACTTCGATCTGCTGGGGGACTTTGGTGCCATCGAGTGGCTCGGGAACTTCCAGATTGTTTTGCTCTACAATCTGGTGTTTGGCACAACCACAGCGCTGTGCTTGGCCAACAAGTTCTCGGCCACCGTGCGACGTGAGCTGCGTGCCCGGTTAGTGGAAAACTATGTGCTCTTTACTAACTACATGAGCTTCATCAACTGATATTTGCGGAAGCGACGGCACAACGTGTCTCTCCGGCAGCTGCAGAGTCACCTCCAGCCGCTGAGACGCTTTGTCGAGTCGCCGCTTACGAGCTTAAGTAGATTCTATGCCAAGTACCATAATCTAAGTTTTAGGAGCAGTCGCAATACCACCGCTAGTCGCAAGGCAAACGAAATGAACTGTTGAGAGACATAAGGTTGAGATGTGGGTTGACACCGACCGCCAGATATACATATAATACATACCTTATACATATGTTCTATATACACGTGTTAGCTTAGGCAGAACTGATATTCGTATATAACCAATTGTTGCGCCGTTTACTGTTGTGCTTAATTGTTGTACTTCACATACTAGAGATGGCCCCATCCCATGGCCAGAAATCTCGCCAATGTAAATATAATATATTCGCAAAAATAAGTACTGCGGCATACGTTTCGTACGATTCGATTTTAGATCTAGGACCTGCCCCATTGTCCGCTCTCGTTTAGGGATACTTTTTTTTCGTATTTTAACTCCTTTTGTCGGTCAGAGTCAAGCGATGTCGCTCATCTAATTTTTAATTTATTTATCTTTAAATGTCTAATATTGTCTGCTATTATTTAAGTTACAAGAATGTTCCTTATTCACGCGCCTCGACCGAGGCGCGCACACCCCTCTCCCCTTCCCAAATAATTCATTATATCGCATACTCAATAATTTGTAACACACGCACACAAACATGCATCTAAGGATTATGTGATAAAACTAAAATAAAATAAGCAATTTTAACAAAAATGCCTTGCTGTTTTTTCTTTCACTTTATCTAAGTATTTACTGGCTATTATTTCATATATTGTTTTCTTCCAGCTTGACCTCCTTTTTCCTACTGGCCTGAGGGACAACCGATCCTAAGAATTAGAATTTTGCTGTGATTTAATGTATAGTGAAATTAATATTTGAATAAATATAGGAATTCGTATGTAAACGATGAAAGCGCAAAAGCATCACGATCCGAATTAAGAGGTACCGAATGCAAATCGAAAATTATTTTCTCTTATTTCTTTTTGAATTTCAAATCCTCTTATTCCGGTATATTTCTGATGGTCGGCCGGTATATTTTAACGACAAATTCGCAGTCACACTGAAACTTTCGTATTAGACACCTTGTCTAGCTCACACACCTTGTATATTTGTATACTTTTCATGGTGATTTTGAGTATTTTCCAGTATTTTTAGAACACCCTATTGTCCAAAGCACCAATATAGAAATCGTGTAGAAATGCCAGGCCACATCGATCACATGGAGTCTGCACACTGGCGCTTCCATGGAGCTTGTATGAAAAAAAACGGTCAAACTTGTCAAAAAACGTACAAATTTGTCTCTGTTGTGTAATTAGCGTGTAGCTACCATGTAAAAAACCAAATTATGTGGAAATTGTTGTAGACGTTTTATGTTTAGACCTTATTTTACAAAAAATCCAATAAAGATGAGAACCTAAAATAAACCATTCTTACAGCACATTGATTCATCAATCGGATAAAATTATGGTTTTAGGACTGAAGGTCCTGGCTAGCTATTAATACTCAACCGAATATCAAAGTCGAGGGATATGATGGAATATGAATACAAATAATTTGTCGGTATATTTTCGGTATATTTCGAAAATCTGACCGTGATGGCGTCACACTATTTGTAGCATTTTTTTGTCTGGTGGCGTCGCGTTGTCGTTTTGATAATAATATTTTTTCAGCGGAAAAGACAAGAATAATTATTGTTACATGATGCTGAGTCGCAAGCGTCGCGCCAGCTCCATATCGAGTCGCCAGGACGAAGATCCGCTGATGCTGGACGACTCGACGCCGGAGCAGTCGCCGGTGCAGCAGACAACGACACAATCGGCGCGAAAAAAGCGCCGACTGGATCCGACCGAGCTCTGCCAGCAGTTGTACGACTCCATACGGAACATCAAGAAGGAGGATGGCTCGATGCTGTGCGATACGTTCATACGGGCGCCAAAGAGACGGCAGGAGCCCTCCTACTACGACGTGGTGGTGAATCCCATCGACTTGCTGAAGGTACAGCAGAAACTCAAGACAGACTCGTACGACGATCTCGAAGACCTGATGGCCGATCTGGAGCTGCTGATTGGCAACGCGAAGGCCTTTTACAAGCCGGAGAGCGCCGAGTACCGAGATGCCCACGCCCTGTGGCAGCACATCCAGTCGCAGAGGCAGCGCATAATGGAGGCCAATGGCATGGCGGAAGAGGAGCCGCGTGCCAAGCGCATTTCGCGCACTATCCGCCGAATGACAACCAGCACGGAGCCGTGCGGTGATCTCGACGACGAATTCAATCAGTATGAGGAGCTCTTTGCCTCGGTAATGACAGCCACCGACCCGATCACCGATAGGGCCATGTACCGCATGTTCCAGCTGCTGCCTTCGAAGAAGATCTACCCGGACTATTACGATGTGATTGAGCATCCGATTGACCTGCGTCTGATTGCGACCAAAATCCAAATGAATGCCTACTCCTCGCTGATGGAAATGGAACGTGATCTGCTGCAGATGACTAAGAATGCCTGCCTCTTCAACGAGCCGGGCTCGCAGATCTACAAGGATGCCAAGGCCCTGAAGCGCATTTTTACGCAAAGGCGTGGCGAGCTGGAAGCGGGCAAGGGGAAGCTGGCCAGGCGACTCAAGAGTTTGTCCAGTGCGGTCATAGCCGGTAAGAGAATAAATCCTCTTTTTTTGCCCCCAAGATACAATTTTACATTTACTTTCATTCGCAGCACTAAAAGAAAAGGTGGAGAGTTCCGATGACGAGGAGACGAGTAAAAAGGGCGAAGGTCCCATGTGGGCCCTGTTCGATTATCTTTATAATGCACCTGGGACATCGGAGCATCCTGGCATCACGGGGCCACCGCTGGGCAACTCCCTGTGGAAGCTGCCGGTGCGTCGCTTTCACCCGGAATACTTTGAGATGATCAAGCGGCCCATTTCCATGAGCCAGATCCACACGAAGCTGAAGAAGGGCGACTATGCGAATATAAGTGATCTCACCTCCGATCTGTATCTCATGCTGGACAACGCCAAGAAGGCGTTCGTGCCCAGCCATCGAACCCACAAAGATGCTCTCAAGATGCTAAAAATCATGAATGCCAAGCTGGTGGAGGAGTCCCTCGAGGAGACTGGAGACGAGCTGGAAGAGGAAGAGGGGGACGATCTGCTGGAGCCCGAAAGCTTTACATCGAGCAACGCCCAGACGGAGAAGCGGAAGCCGGGCAGGCCGCGCATCAACTCCAATTCCAACTCGAACACCTCGCACACGCCGAACAACTCGAATTCGCCCAAGACGAATCGCATTGCCATCAATGGGGCCATCAAGAAGAAGATCCTTGCCATCCAGAAGTGCCTCGTGGAGTACTTGGTGGGGAATCGTCGGCCCATCGAGCTGTTCATGGAGAAGCCGCCCCGCAAAGTCTATCCGGACTACTACGACATCATCCAGAATCCCATCGACATGAGCACCATCGATCACAATATACGCACCGATCGCTATGCCACTGTGGAGGATGTCGTCTCCGACTACCGCCTGATGTTCTCCAACTGTCGGCAGTACAACGAGGAGGGCTCCACCATCTACGAGGATGCCAACATTCTGGAGCGAGCCCTCAACGAGAAGCTCAAGGAGTTCCCGGGCCTCGTGGAGGTGAAAAAACCCCTGCAGAAGTACTCCAAAGTGGGGCGCAAGCTGAAGACGGCTCTGGTTACCGACCGCCTCTGGCAGTTCTATGAGACGCTGCGCGAGTATCAGGAGCCCAAGGGCAAGCGTCAGCTGTCGCTGATCTTCACCAAGCTGCCGTCGAAGGGCGAGTATCCGGACTACTATGACATCATCAAGGAGCCCATGGACATGGACCGCATTGCCCAGAAGCTGAAGCAGTCCGCCTACGAGACCCTGGACGAGCTGGCCGCCGATTTCCTACTGATGCTGGAGAACGCCTGCAAGTACAACGAGCCCGACTCGCAGATCTACAAGGATGCTCTGGTGCTGCAGCAGCTGACGCTGCAGTTGAAGCAGCAGCTGCGTATCGAGCGCGACTCGCTGCCGGACGTCCCGCTGGCCGTGCAGGAGCTGTTCCTCACGCTGTTCACGACCCTGTACAATCACCAGGATGAGGAGGGACGCTGCTACTCCGACTCCTTGGCCGAGCTGGCCGAGTACGATGAGCTGGGCGAGGGGGCCAAGGTGCGCGGCATTTCGCTGGACTTGATCAAGCGAAGGCTGGACAAGGGCGCCTACAAGCGACTGGATATCTACCAGGAGGACATCTTCTCCTGCCTGGAGCGTGCCCGCAAACTGTCGCGCACGGACTCGGATATATTTCAGGACTCCATCGAGCTGCAGACCTACTTCATACGCAAGCGGGATGAGCTGTGCAAGGACACGCTCAGCTCGCCCGCCCTGAGCTTTACGCTGGAGCGCCTGATGGCCGATGTGGAGGTGATGCGACAGCAGAAGCTGCTGCAAGAGGAGCAGGAACAGGAGCAGGACAAAGATGAGTTCAATGCCGCCAGCAAGGGTGAGAGCATGACAATCAATCAGCAGGTCTACTCCCCCGGCGACTATGTGTACGTGCAGATGCCGGAGAACAAGATACCCTCGATCGCCTGCATCGAGAGGCTGTGGACATCGCCCAGCAACGAGAAGCTGATGCAGGGCTCGATCTTCGTGCGGCCCCACGAGACGTATCACGTGACGACGCGGAAGTTCCTCGAGAAGGAGGTGTTCAAGAGCAGCATCTCGCAGACCATCTCCATGGACAAGGTGCTGGGCATGTGCTATGTGATGCACATCAAGGACTACATCAAGATGCGTCCCGACCGGCTGCAAGAGAAGGATGTGTTCGTGTGCGAGTCGCGCTACAATCTGCAGGGACGGTGCTTCAAGAAGCTCAAGAACTGGCCCCAGATACGCGAGGGCAGCTCCGTGAGGTTTGTGCCGCGCGACCAGCCGCTGGAGCTGAAGCGCGTGATGTCCGTGTTCAAGGAGCGCATCGAGAAGCACAAGGGAGAGCTGGAGGAGCTCAAAATGCAGGAGACGATGGTGGAGAAGGAGAAGCCCAATGTGTCCTGCGACCCGCCGCCGAATGCCGAGAACAACAGTGTCTACTACCAGCAGTACAACACCATCTGCAGCGGGGCCATCAAGACGGGCGACTTCGTCTACGTGGCCACCCAAACGGGCAAGCAGTCCGTGGCGCAGGTCCAGCAGATCTGGGAGCAGAACGGTAAGTCATACTTCAAGGGTCCCTGGCTGCTGCCCCCCAGCGAAACGACCCCCGCCCTGGGCAAGCAGTTCTTCCGCCAGGAGCTCCTCCTCACCACCGTCGAAGAGGTCAGTCCCGTGGTGGGTGTTGTGGGTCGCTGCGCCGTGCTGGAGTACGCGGAGTTCATCAACTCCCGACCCACAGAGATAGCCGAGAGCGACGTCTACATCTGCGAGTCCGTCTACGACGAGCTGAAGAAGGCCGTGCGCAAACTGGTGGCCGGCAACATGCGCAAGTTCCAGCACAGCTCGGCCGTCACCGAGGATGAGATCTTCTACTTCAAGACTCCCATCAAGCCGGCCAAGGATGTGAAGAGCGAGATCAACGATCTGAGCATGTTGGAGGACTCGATGGATGGTGATACACCGTCTCTGAGCTCGGACATAGCGGCCATGTCCTCGCCGGCGCCCTCTGTGAACTCCACGCCTCTGACCTCCAAAGTGAAGGCTGCCAAATCGGCCAAGAAATGCCTCACCGGCTACATTCTCTACTCCAGCGAAGTGCGAAAGGGTGAGTGCTCTCAACTGTCTGTGGGATTTCCCTAAGATACTGACCGTATATTCGTTTTTAGGCATTTGCCAAAGCAATCCAGAGGCCTCCTTTGGGGACATATCCCGAATGGTGGGCAACGAATGGAAGAATCTACCGTCCAGCGTGAAGCAAAGTTGGGAGGATCGCGCCAGCAAACAGAACGAGGAGACGGCAGCCCTGCGCCGTGAGATAGATGACACGCAGAACAGTGCCAGTCCTTCGTCCCAGGTAAGCGCCACCCAGGAGTCCACAGGTCCACCGCTCACCTTCGAGTGCCTGTGGGACAAGTGCGATTTCCAGTTCGAGGAAATGCCGGACTGCACCGAACACTGCCTCTCCGAAGCCACCGGCCACATACAGCGGCATCCGCCGTCGGGCGTGGAGATTGAGTACGTCTGCCTCTGGCGCAACTGTTCTCGCATCAAGAAGTCCACCCAGGGATTCCCCAACGTGGTGCGGCTCATCAAGCACGTGCGCGAAGTGCATCTGAGCAAGTGCGGAAAGGTTTTGGGCATCACCGAGCGCAGCAAGAACTTTGTGCCGCGCCGGCAGAAGCACATGCCCCAGATGGCTGCCACTGTGCCGCTGCCGCCCAACAATGCCCATTCACCGCGTGCCGCCAACACCGCAGAGGCAGCGCAGCTGCAACAGCAGGCGCCGCACACTCAGCAGATGCTGCAGCAGCCGCAGCAAACGATTGTGCTCGGACCACCGCCAGAGCCGATGTTTGTCACCGTGCCGCCGCGCACCACTCGAGTCATCCATTCGGAGGCCTACATCAAGTACATCGAGAGCCTCCAGACGGGCAGCCACCTCAACGTGGCCGCCTGCAACAACAACTGGCGGCGAGCCCTCACACACGTGACTCCCGCCCAAGTCGTGCCGAAGGTGCCACTGCCCGAACACTGGCTGGGACCCAATGCCCGCGATCAGGACAGCGTTGTGCAGGCCCTGTGCCACCTACGCAACTTTATGCTGGACGATGTGCTGCAGATTCGCCGCAGCTGCAACTAACCTCCGCCAAGCAATCATCTTAAGCCCAAAGTGTTTCGAGTTCAATGTTAAAATGCAACAGGAAACAACTATTAACCCAATCCAATGTTTTCGTATTGTTTAAGAAGCAGTCGTACCAGGACAATCGTATCATTAATTGTGAATTATGAATTATGAGTATTTAAAGTTAGCACAAAATGACCATATCCAACGGAATTGGACTCTTTTCCCCTTATAGTTTTCTTTCAACCAATGGTTTCTACTACTTCGTTCTATAGTTTTTTCTCAAATACCAACAATGTTTGATGTTCATACTATTTACTCTTATCATCTCCTTTTCACTATGTTTGTAATTTCTTCCATAAGATATAAAGTGTATTAAAATTATGATTCTACTATTGCATAAAACACACGTTCTTGTTTCCACATGCTCCCCCACGCGCTATAGAATGCTCGATAGTTGCAAATACCGCATACATGCCGTGTGCATGACAGGACACCTTGATGCCCGAATTGACTTTCCCTGAACTGCTCCAAAATTAAAAAGCCTGAAATATGATGCCTATTCGTATAACCGAGTCTTCGCTATGGCTTTCCAATGACTGTGGTTTCTTTGAAGGGTGTGCATCCGCTCCTGTGCTCCGCTCCCATATGGTGTGTCGGTTATCAGCCTCTAAGGGGGATGACGTCAGGGCATTGTTTAGTTTTTGTGTGTTCTGTTTTGCTCCGTAGCTACGACAACAAACCGGTTGCCCCGGAATATGGCAGCGTCACCCGGTTATTTTGTGGCGCTTATCTAATTGGCCCCTGCTCTAGCCTGCTCTGGCCTGCTCAGTGGCGCTCAGTGCCGCTCGCACGAGCTCTCGGCGATGGCCTCATTGGCTGAACACCCGCTGGCCGTCGAGGCGCCGTCGAGGGGCTGCGCTGCCCAAAACTTGGACCTCCGAAATTAGTCGTAGTCTGCCGCTCGCACATCGTGGACGGTATTCATCAGATACGCAGCACACATCAGAACACATTTATACTATCAACCAAAGAAGCAGCCATGTCGGAGGGAGAGTCAAAGTTTGGTTTCAAGGACATGGAGAAGGCCCTGGAGACGCTGAAGCTGCTGGAGGATCATGACATGCAGTACCGAAAGCTGACCGTGCGCGGTCTCCTTGGACGCGCCAAGCGAGTGCTGACCTGTGAGTGGTTCAATCATAGCGATAGTCTCTCCCCACTCACTTGATTCCTCCCCGCTCCAATGCGAATGCAGTGACCAAGGCGGAGGAGAAGCTGAAGAACATCAATGAGGCGATTGGCGTGTTCGAGAAATGGCTGGAGGATAATGGCGGCGGGGCGTCCAGCAAGAACGCCAAGACTGACAACGAGGATAAGGTGGAGACCGTGCCCGGACTGGGCTTCAAGGACAAGGCGGCGGCGGAGGCAACGCTGAGGTAAGCGCTGAAGGAGGCGTGCTCCATTTGGGGCATACCAATGAGGCTAGCGATGACCGACCTTCGGGCGAGCAGCGAGCGGCAGTGAGCGGCAGCGGCATCTTATGATGTCATGTCACAGTTATAGAGTGTTTCGAACTCGGAAGTCTCATTAGATTGATAGAGCGAGCACCGCGCCGCTCTTGCTGTATGCCTCTCTGCTGCTCTCTGCCAGCGAAGCGGTTCGTAATTATATCGAATTCGTATATGTGTACCCCTCGTCACTTGCACATATATCCGCACATTCCACTGCTCTGCCTGTATCCACAATATTTGAATATATTGTACGAGTATATGCATTCGATTCAATCCCACATTGCAGCATTCTGGCGGAGCGTGACCCGGACTACCAGAGGCTGGCCATCAGGGGATTGATTGGCAGCTCCAAGCGAGTGCTGTCCGGCACCAAGAACGAGGACAAGATCAATTCCATCAAGGAGGGAGTCCAGGTGCTGGAGGATTTCCTGGAGAAGTTCGAGGCCGAGAACCGCATCAAGGAGAATCGTGCCTACTTGGCCTATGCCGTCGTGTCCAAGCTGCCAGAGCCCAAAGAGGATCTGTCCGTCGAGTTCCTGGCTGCCTACGGCGGCTCCAAGGCCAAGGGCAACTACAAGCACCTGCGCACCATGTACCCCAAGGAGGACGACACCACCAGCTGGGACATTGTGCGCAATCGCCAGATAGCCAAGCTGCTGGAGCAGATCAAGAGCGAGGAGGCCAAGCTGTTCGACTCGGAGTCGGGCGAGCCCACAGATCTCCATTTGCAGCTGATCCACTGGGCCTACACGCCCCAGCCGGACAAGGTGAAGGCCTATGTGGAGAAGCTGGCCAAGAAGACGCCGCAGAAGCGCAAGCCGGAGAGCAGCAACAACAGCAACAGCAACAGCAGCAGTGCCAACGATTCCAGCAGCGAGGACTCCGACGATTCTGTGCCCAAAAAGAAGAAGAGGGAGTAGTGACGCCCACCCAGGGGGGAAATGGATCAAGGCTGCCACTTTGTAACGAACAGAAAACGGTTCATAGTTTATTTAAGTATTTCTGTAACTCAACCTCAACGCAAACTACGATTAATGGTGGACATCTTCTATATATACATATATATATATGTACTTATGTATTGTGGTATATAAATATCGTATTGCGTGGGCGTATGCCTCGCGTAGGCCTCGCTTTGATGAACAAAAACAATAAATCCGAGAGAGAGTATTGCATTTGTGCCGTTACACATCGAACATCACGTTTTTCGACGTTCCCCAACACTCACGCACTTGTTGTTGTTGTCTAGCACTCTTTTCCGTTATTTGTGTCATCATAGCGAAACCTTCATTCGACATTCACCCCGCACTCCGCACCCACGCAACTAAATTACACAATGTACAAGAGACCCAACAACCACGCCCATCCGGCAACAATCCCACGCTCCGCCCACAGTCCACGTGCAAGCACTAATACTTATGCAAGCCGGCCGTGTCATAATAGTCCGACTTTGGCACGCGAGGAGACTGCGCTTGGGCATCGGTGGGAGCTGGCGGCGTCTTGGCCAGCGACAGAGTCAGCTGGTGCTGATCGCCCTTGCCGGTTCCGGCGGTGAGATGGCCATAGGCCATGTTGAACAGCGCATCCGGATCGCAGACGAAGCGGTAGACATAGCGCTCCCCATTCACCTTCTGCATGATGCCCTTCTCGTAGTAGTAGCGGAGACTGCGGGACAGCTTGTCGTAGTTCATGGCCGGGCGGTTCTTCTGGAGGCCCCACCGTCGGGCCACCTCCTCGGGCTCGATCAGCTTGAACTCCATTCCCCTGCCGGTCCAGGCAATGCAGCTGGCACTGCGAATGGACAGAAGGATAGTCACAAAGAAGGTGATTCACACTACGGACTCTCACCTGGTGTTGGGCTCATCCAGAAGGGCCACCAGGAACTGCCACAGTTGCAGCGAGCCGCGACGCTGGCTTATGGGCTGTCCGTTGCTGCTGGTGGAGATGCCATTGCTGGCATAGAACTGGTCCAGACGCAGCTCCGCGTCGCTGGACGTGGTCGAATCCACCACGCTGGGCCGCAGACCCCCGGGATAGGTGGAGGATATGGTGGCGTTGTACGGACCGCTATCGTACTTCAGTTCTGCATCACTCACCGCCGCCGCCGAGGTGGGGGAGAGATCTCGATAGACGGTGGCATGCGACTGGGACTGCGTCTGCTGCTGGTGCACATAGTGCGCGGGTGTGCCGTAGACAGCCGAGCTGGAGATGACAGCCGTGTGGCTGAACTTGAAGGCGGAGGCTGCGTGCAGTGGAGTCAGGTGGGTCAGGGCCTGCTGCTCCGCCTGCTGGTGGTGTCCATGATGATGATGATGGTGCGGGTGCAGTGCCGCATGTTGCAGTTGCTGTTGGTGATGCTGGTGCTGTTGCTGCTGCTGCTGCTGCTGTTGTTGCTGTTGTTGCTGCTGCTGCTGCTGCTGTGCCGCTGTCGTGGTGGAGTCCGCGTGCTCGATTTTCGTGTTGGCCTGGAAGTGCTGCCCAGAGGAGACATCGTTGCAATAGACAGCAGCAGCAGCGGCGGCGGCGGCGGCAGCGCTGGTCGTTTCTGGAAAGGATCCGGAGCCGGAGAAGAGTTGGAAGGAGCTGAATGAAAGCCGCTTTCATGCACGTTTAAACAATGTCGAGACATCGAGGGAAGGGGCACTAATTACATGGGTATCTCAATACCCTTACTCAAATAAAAGCCTCAAGGGTGTCTGGTAGTGTGAATGAAGGAATCAGTGAAGATATAAGACTAAATGTATGGTTAAGTGTTCCTGAGGTTCCCTATTCCTTAGCTCTGTAAATTCTTCTTTACATGTTTCTGTAATCAAAATCTGTATCCCTTAGTCCTGTCGTATCTTGTACATTTTTCAGGGTATTCCACACTTCGTTAAGTTCCTAATGAGCTCTGTTGCTCTGTTGTTTCTGGTGCTGCTTTGTACCTAAATGGCCAAGGTATTTAGCAGCAATTAATTATTTAAACAGCCCACTCCACCCTCTTTGCGACTCTGCCTCCCACCCACTGGAGGCAGGCACTGCAAAATGGCTCAATATGCTGCAATTTAACAGGAAAACAAACCTCTCTGGGTGTGCACCCACCCAACCCACTCGAGCCCACTCGAACCCACTCTCCTGCCCACCAACTCGGAGCTTGCCCTTTTCATTAGCTTCCATTCCCAGGTCTTCCTCTGACTTTCGTTCTTTCCATCCCACATTCCACTCCCCCTGGGCGCGACTCGACGCTGGTGGCATTACAAATTCAGAAGATACCTCTGCATAATCCATGAGCAAGTGTCGACAAGTAAAAACATCATTGCCGATAACAACAGCGATTCGACCGGCGCGACGCGACGCACCGCCGCTGATGGAAATGCAAACCTGTTGGCCGTGCCCATAAGGGGAACGCCCCCACACCAGCACTCGTTGGGCTTGAATGGGGTGTGAGGACAGCGCACCCCCCTTTGAAGCACTCGGCGGCGGTCTGTGATTGAGCTGCTTGTTTGACTGATGCTGCCTCCCCATCGCTGCCTCCTCACCCACCCACCGGAGGCCAGCTACTGTATCTCCGTGCGTGGCGCTGCTCTCGAAATTGAATTCCAAGCTCGTGCCTCGTGGATGCCGGTGGCCCGCCAATTGGATTAGCGGTTACTAACACCGGCGATATTGTTATTGTAAATTATGCGCGCAATTTCATTCATTTTATTTGAAAAAATATCCAGCAAAACGAAGCAGAAAAACGGAGCCCAATAATTCCCCGTAAGTGAAACGAACCCACGAGGCCATCATCTTGGCCAAACAAATTGAGTTATTGGCATGCAAAACTGATAAGGCGTGGAGCAGAAGCCTCACGGATAATTTGAATAAATGATGAACGAGCGAACGCACATGACTTTAATAATTTTCTTTTCATTTTTCATGTTTCATTTCGATCTACATATTAAGTATTCGGGGACTTACCTTCGTCGCTCTTTTTCAGAATGCCCGCGGGTGGCGATGATGGAAATCTGGCGAGAGCATAAATCAAGAAGAATATTGAGTATAGGCAGAAGGAGAAAGGAGACTGCCCAGGAATTGCTGATTGACTTAAAGTTGACTTGTCTTGTCAGCATGAGCTTCAATAATCCAGCGGCAGTGGCAGCCACATCCACTTACCTGTAGCAATATGGATGCGGATGCGAGTGCGGAAGCGGGTGTGGGTGCGGGTGCGGGTGTGGGTGCGCATGGGTGTGTGGGTGCGTCACAGCGGGTATATCGAAGAAAGTTGATGTTCTTTCATGGCGCACGCCTTTGACATTCACTGCAGAGATTCCAAAGAAAGTAGAACCAAGAAAATTACACATTTTTTGCGGCTGGGATTCATAAATGTTAGTCGAAAGCTTCCCAAACTCGTACTCCCACTACTTAATCCAGGGAACCTCAGCTTTGTTAGATAATATTTCATATTAACGCTCGCACCGGGATGTCTTTGAGACCACAAATCGAGCTTGTCAAATGCACTTGACTTGGCCATAATCGAGTGGCAAGACAGGTTTAAGATTAGATAACAACAAAAAAGGAAGTGCTTTAGTCTGCCTTAAAGAGCCTCAAGGGAATACATTGGTCTTGAACTGTTTTCGATTTGCTCAAGTTATCTTTGAGATTAACTTTCAATCGGATTTAGGAATGAGTGAGATTTCCTGAAGCTCTAAATTGATTTTTCATCTTTCCGAATCGGTTAAAAACTCCCTAAAATCACCCACTATGGTTATTATTATGTTTTCCCGAAGCTCTAAATATATTTATTATATTTTGGGACTCGGCACGCGCCATCTCCAGTCATGCTTTCTTATTAAAAAACGAAACAAAACAAAAACAAGTTAAAACAAAGCCTCCAGGCGGCAAACGGGCAAGCAAACCCCAGTCCAACCAGTCGAAAGTCCCACCCTTCCCCTACGCCTACCCATTCCCGTCGAACGGTTTCTCATCCCAAAACCCCCCCCAACTCATAATGGAAAATTAATAAACAAGGGGGACGTGTAAATAGATAAAACAAACAGATACAGATTCGGGAGGGGGAAGCTGCATCCGGGCTTGACAGTGGGTGGGGGGAGGTGGATGCGTGGATGCGTGGAGGTGGACGGACGCTTACCATTGTACCTTGCGTTCAAGTAACCCTCGGTGGATGTGTCCAGCCCGAATTTGCCAATAGCCGGCGTGGGCGTGGGCGTTGCATACATGACCAGCTCGTCGGCCAACTGCTGGTGATGGTGGTGGTGGTGGTGATGATGGTGATGCGCATACCAGGCCGATTCGCGTGTGAGATCTGCGGAGGGAGAGAGGAGTTCCTTAGAGCAGAGGGCCATGGGAGAGTAGAGGATCACTACAGACCATTGCATAGAGAGGCGCCGCCTCCGTTGGAGCTGCTGGCGGCCGCGGTGGCATTCATCAGAGCGGACGTTGCAATCGATGCCGGCGGCGACAGGCTTCCGGCTAGGCCCGGCGGTGTTGCCGTCGACTTCTGTCCAATGCAGATGGCCTCCATCAGAGTGTGGCCGGCATCCAGGTCATTGCTGTGGCATTTCTTGCGCTCCGTCTCCAGGTGGCCGCAACTGGAGGACGATGACGATGAAGATATGGCCTTGGCCACGGCCGGCAACGTCGAACTGACACAGGAAACCACCGAGTCTGTGGTTAAAGTGGATGTATTCGGCGCCCCATGGTAGAGCCCCAGATGATGGTGATGATGATGGGGATGATGGTGCGGATGCGGATGCGAATGCGAATGGGAGTGATGATCCAAGTGCGTGAGCGTCTGCTGGAGCTGCTCCAAGTGCGTCTTGGCCTCCTGGCTGTAGTCGCTCTGTGAAATAAGGAAATGAGGAAACCAGACGCAGCAGGAAATTACTCATGAGTTTTGGGCGTTACTTTGGGGTTCGATTCGTGTTTTGGCCTCCTCAAATTAGTTGTCAATTTGTAAGTCTCTGTCTTTGGGGGAGCATTTCAGTAGCCATCGCTTAAAGGGGGCCCTTAAAGCCACCTGCTGAGTGCGTTAGTGATACCCGCTGCTAACAGGTTGCAGGAAACAATGGAACAACAAAGCCCTGTCCCAGTCCCAGTCCCGGTCTCAGTCTCAGTCCGTCACATTGACATAGTCAAGTGAATGGAACTTGTGGCAATTAGTTTAACAGCTTCTGCCTTTGCTTTTGCTTCTGGGTGTCAATTGGCCGCGTTGAAGCGTTGTTCTTGCCCCGGCCGGGCCCATTAAGTAATGAGACATTGTCATGGCACAACTAGAATTCGCACCTCATACTACCACTCGTATGAGGTATGGGACACTACCTCCATGTATCTCCATCTCCATTTGCGGTTTATTGACACTTTTACATTTAATGAGCTCTGCGTTGAGGTTAACCTTTCTTTATGGTCACACACTCTCGCTCTCTCCGGCGGACATCTCTCTGCCGGGGGGACGGAAACTCTCATTAAAGATTGCTGGAATTTCACTTTTTTGTTAATGGGGGAAAATCGTTTGTAAATCTAGCCCTAGCCCAATCATATCTCAATGCTATGATGAGTGATGGTAGATGATGGCGGTACTACCTATTCTCGGAAGAAAAGTAGCTATGAAGACGGATCCAAAGTAGACAAAAAGAGTGTTTCTCCAAAGGCATTATCGATTCCAAACAAATTGCACTTTACTTACCCAAATATCTGCCAATATTTTACTTGGATACAACTGATAAAATAATAGAACATAAGGCATAGCCATCGGATCTCTCCATACACCTTCGGCAGACAGCTCTTTTTTTCAAAATTCATTATCGAACTCAGTTCAAACTAAATGATAAGGATCACAGGAGTGGGCCACACACTCCCAAGACAAAATATAGTGTTAGAACAAAGACCTGCCCAACTTTAAGAATGGTATGCAAAAGCCAGTGTGAGTAATATTTAGTTCGAATCTTATGTTTCCCAGAACTTCAAAGGGGTTTCCATGACGTCCCTTCTTGAGTTATGTGTAACCGATTTTAGAAAGGTTAACAGTTCATTGTTTTTCTAAAACAGAAAATAGTTTAAATAGAAGAGAGAGCTTGGGTTACCCCACAAAATCGATTCCCAGTTCCCAATGAAATAAACTTAGAGGCGAAGACCATTTCGAAATGTTTGCTTTTTGAAAACAATCTTCTTGGGACGCACATCCCAAAAGTGCATTTCGTATGGTATCCCTCACTTGACATTTGAAAACTGGAACACCAAACGGTGCGCGGCGATGCGATGTGCACCGTCGCATTCGAGAATCATTTGTACGATAGTTACCCCTAATTACATGCCCGTAATCGTTGCCGGTTGGGCTCTATCGGCAATAGAAGCATCAGTTCCAGTGCCAGCTCCAGCTCCAGTGCCAGCCCTGCTCCAGATAGATACTCTCCGAAACGCAGAAAGCGGCACCGGGCCCGTGCCCGTGCCGTCCCTCTTTGTAATAGAAGAAGAAATGCAGAATGATCAGCTTTCTCCTCCTCCGAGCCGTGGGTTATGTAAGTCTTCGATGTTGTGTACTTGGATTCGTGGGCGAACATATTACATTTGGCAATCCACAAACAGTTTTGCTTCCGCTTTCTGCCGGTGTACAAATTTTGGATAAATTGCAAAATATGTCGTTTGCTTCCGTTTGCTAAGTGCAAGCAAACAATTTGTCAAATCAAATTACCACAATTATTTAGTGTAACTGTCACGATCACATAGCGCACTCGGAGGCAGTGGCAGAGGCAGAGGCAGAGGCAGCCAGCGAAGCGTTGTCACCTGCCACGCGTGCGCAACTGCAGCAAGGGCTCAACGATGACAGCGGTGGAACGACTAAGGAATGCCCTCTGAATGCCCTTTAGCTTTCGAAAGCGTCCCATGTGTTTATAGGATATGCTTATAACATATATAGGAAGAGTTTTACAGATATAATAGTAGGATTTCTATAAAAAGGATTCTCTAGATCGTTTCATCTACAACTCAAATAAGTTTCCCTAATCACTATTGAAATATTAGGGCTAGCACTTGTGTTAAAGTACTTCTTAGAGTTTCAATATGGAATGGTTTAGGTAGACACAAATAAACCATACCACCCACATTAGAGCGTCCTATAGTTGGGGGAATATACCCTTTACCTAGAGGGTACTGCAGGCCCTACCATTAGACCCTAATTTGTATGCGCAATGGATGCCAATTACGATTGCAATTGGGAAAAACAAACGTTGGCGGTGACTGACTGACATTCGGAATCGTCCGTTCGATGAATCAACTTTGAACTCTGGCAGACAATGAGGAAGGTAGGAGCCCTCGTATGTGTAGACTGGTGGGTGGTGGGTGCGGGTGCTGGAAAAGATTACGACGCATGCGCGCCCGCAACTGCCATTACGAAACTTTGGCTGTATTTACTTTGCATCGTAGAGGGGCTCTGTGTGTGTGTGTATCTGTGAGGTTGATCTACTTTGCAGCAGCCGCCACACGACACCAGAGGACAGAAGCAGGGGACAGAAGGGCAGAAGAGGCCGACAGAAGACAATGCTTTTCTTTTTTCGTATTTTTCTGTATTTTTTTGTGTCTTTTTGTCTTTTATTTCCACGCTGAGGTGCGTTGTGTGCGGCAAATTGGTTGGCGGCTGTCGCGGACTCCGAATCCGTACCCGACTCTGACTGTAGCTCTGAGCTCCAACTCCAGCTCTGGGCTCCATCTTGGGCTTGGGCTTGGGCTTGTGCTTGTCGTGGAAAACACTTTCACTGCACATGAGAAGGCAGTGACACGGTCGTCACCGTAGTCTTCGCTGTCTTCGCTGCGGAGTGCTCTTCTTGTGGGTGCTGTGGCAATGGAAGCGCGACCGAGCCAGTTTCTCGGCCTGTTCGCTTCGCCTGCTTTGCCTTTTGCATTTTCGTTTGAGCTGTGGGCCAGTACGGAGGTGTTTCTTCTCAGCTTTCCATCCCATCCCCCAAAACATCCACTAGAGCGCTTCAGAATTACCTGCTCCATGTTCAGTTCAGCGCCATGTCAGAATACGTTAGCCGGGATTATCTTTGGCTGTGCACTCTGCTGCTGATCTGCGCCCTGATCCAGGGTAAGTAATCACTCGTTGGTCTCTCTTTGGTCGAGGATCTACAATACCCTCACTTCCAGTGGCCCTGTCCCAGCCGTATCAGGTGCCGCATCGCTGCTCGAATCGTCTGGAGAGCGCCCTAGAGCACATGCGACGGCGCAGCATTCAGACCAAGAGCTCCTCCGATCGGACTCGCTCGCGGTCCATGTGGCAGCCGCCGGCACAGAGCCCCTACCAGCTGTACCACAGCTTCTACGGCCAGCACAGTGACCCCGAGGATGATTTCTACAACGGGGGCGGCAGCTACAATTCGGGACGTGGCTACCATGCCAAGCTTCTGCACAGGAATGGGCGTCCCTATCCGTTTGCGGACTCCAGTGCTGCTCTGGAGCTGGAGGAACTGCTCTCCGGCCACCAGCAACAGCAACAGCAACAGCAGCAGCAGCAGCAGCATCAGCAGGAGCACCGGCAGCCACACAAGCTGGCCATATCCCGGGTGGAGGTCGAGGATCTGAAGGTGCGTGTGCCGCCCGCAAAGTCCGCCTCCCGTTGGGTGGAGATCGACAAGTGCAAGTTCAGCACGGAGAACTCCACGCTGGACACGCGACTCATCTTCCCGGATCTCACCCTCAGCGGCAAGGTGGTGATGCAGCCCATGGGCGGACGCTGCCACATGATACTCCGCCTGCGTCATGCTGGCATCGAGTTCCGAACGGTGCCGCTGGGCTTGGAGCCGGGCTCAGGCTCGTTACCGCCCTCGTATGAGCAGTCCAGGAGATTGAGCGCCTCCTCTGTACGCACGGACTCGCACTTTGCGGAGCCCGGCTTCATCTCCGTCTTTGCCCATGGCTGCCAGGGACCGACTGGCATCCGGCTGCGACAGAACTCGAAGCGGAGATTCGGCTACGGGCCAGGAACCCCTCCGCAGGTGGAGTTGGGCGAACCACATGTCATCATGGGCACGACGCGACCTCAGCCCCAGAGATGGGGCAAGTACCACAAGCCGGACTATGACATCAGGCTGGACCACACCACGCAGCGGGACAAGAGCCTGGAGCTGGGCAGCGATAGCCATGGCCAGGACTCGGCGGAGTTCGTGGATGTCAATGCGGACAACTTCTACCGGCGGCAGTTCAACAAGCGGCGACGACGTCGTCGGCGGTTCGCCGAAAACGGACCCACGGAAAATTTCGTGGACCAACTGAGCTTCAACGAGGACGTGCTCCACTTCGAGGACGAGCAGCTGCAGCAGATGGTGGAACCAGATGCCAGAGCCTTTGCGGACATCTTCAGTGCGAGCGGAGGAGCTGGCGGGTTTGGGGGCCTCAATTCCAACGGGGACCGTGAGGAGCTGGTGGGTGAGGCCATGTCCCATGAGCTGGAGAAACTCTTCTCCATGGGAGTGCGCGGTCTGCTGACCACCTACATGCAGCGCGCCCTGCAGCCGGCCATCAAGGAGACCCTGATGGAGAACATGGGCTACACCCTGAGCTATGGCTGAGCCCCACATGGGGCACACTTAAGTATTAGCCCCTTAATTTATTTCAGATTGAGCAGAAATAAAAGCTTTAAGCAGAATAATTGATACATTGGATACCTGGCACTCGACTGACTCTGTTTTATATAATCTTACCAATTTGGCGGTATCCATTTAGTGGAAACTATAGATCACACGCTTGACTCGACACACTCACACACGGCCGGACCGGACACACTCTTGAACTTGATGGCGGGTTCCGCTGGCCTGGGTAGAAATGTTCACTAATAGGATTGCGTTTCGCCTTGTTTCTGCACATCAATAATGTTCAATTATTCAACACTTCGATGGCTTTCACTTGTCGCTGATCAGCGCGCATTCCGTTGTCATCGTGCAGCCGTTCTCGAGTATCCGTGATAACTGGCGTGGTGGCGGCGTCGCAGGATTCGACCAGACCCTGGCTGGGATTGGGGTGTCTGTTAATGGGGGTGGATGCGCCAGGATGCTGTGGATTGTTCTCTGCGCAGGTGCGGAACGCCCCCAGAGGCTGGTCATTGGTTGAACTCCTCTAATGGGCGGTGGCCAATGGTAACTGAGTGCTGTCGTTAATTAGTTTGAACAAAATATTAACATTTGATAATTGTTTAAGAAACTGTTCAACTATTTTAGGAATACAACAAACCGTAAGACTCTAACTGGAGTCTTAAATGTTCTTAGATTCTTAGATTATTATTAAATTAGATCTTATATAATATGAATGGAATTTCATAATCAAAGTATTTCTTATCATAGTTACGAATTTCAAGCCAAAATTTTGAAATTTAGGTGAACGTTAGCCACCAGAGTTGCCAGCTCTGGTGGCCTTAGGTCAAAGCGCTGCCAGACTGCTGGATTTATGTTGGGTGCACAAATTTTCAGTATTTTCAGTAAATTTTCATCATTTATTTGTTTGACCTTTTTCGTTAAAACCTTTTTTTTTTTTTTAGAAAAAATCCAATAAAACAAGTTTTAAGAAAAAGCCAGTTAAGTAGATTCATTAATCGTATAAAACTAAGTGAGCATGGCTAAACGGTCTATTTAACTGGTAATATTCGATGGAAGATCAAAATTGAGGAATTCGTCGTAGTTTTTGAATCGGTAATGGCCCGGTTGACAACATTTAAATCCGTGTCGCTCACATTCAAAAAAGTTAGATTTGGCGCGCACCACTTGCATCCAGTCGATAGTATCGATAACCAAACTTGAATCGGGTAAGGACACTAACCATACAGTATATAGATGTGCCAGTTCATACAACGAAAGTGTCACACACCGGCTTGCGCTATCCGTACCCCAGAGTGACGTCATCATGAGAGAGAGAGCGCAGAGAGAACATCTTTGCATGTGTTAGTACACACGCAATATGTTTCGACAAAAAGTATGTGATTGTATGTTTTTTCAGATTTTTTGAACTCTCTCAGGTCTGATCTGTTTTGCCACCAGCATGTTTTAGTGTATGGGTGCACATGCATTCTCACGTACTTTGCGTGTGTGTGTTTACTATTGCTGGCCGCTAGAACTGAAATTTGAGTTTGGTTCTTGTTTCGGGTCTTTTGATGGACTGACCTACCGCCACAAAATAAATGAAGAATGGGCAGGGGGTGGGGGTATGGTACACTAGGGCGCGGGAAACAAAATAAAAGCTGTTATTTGTTTGATTTATACCACAAAATATAAAATATTACAATAATATAATTACACATTTATTTCCTTATCTTAAGCAGGTTGATTATAAATTATGCAAACGCCGTCGGTTCTCGACGTTTTGTTTATATCAAAGACTATACAATACCAAAGACTATACAATACCAAGATGTTGCATGAGCGACCAAAAAGCTGTTCTATGGCGGGTCCTAACATTAGAACCCAAAAGGCACGAGGGAGCGCGCGGGGTTTCAATTCCCTTTTCGCCTGTACTTCGTCTCTACCGCGACCCCGCTGCCCATCGGTTTCGTCTGTTCGGCAATTCTGGACTCTCGAGCCTCAGCACCGTCGAAGCGGTGGTCGCGGATCGCCGATGTCTTTGGAGCGGCACAGTGGGAAAATTCGATTGGAAAATTCTCTATTAGAATTTATCTAAAGAACTCATACAATTTTTTTACTATTTCGGCTGAGTCCCACTGTGCCGCGCCAAAGACATCGGCGATCCGCGACCACCGCTTCGACGGTGCTGAGGCTCGAGAGTCCAGAATTGCCGAACAGACGAAACCGATGGGCAGCGGGGTCGCGGTAGAGACGAAGTACAGGCGAAAAGGGAATTGAAACCCCGCGCGCTCCCTCGTGCCTTTTGGGTTCTAATGTTAGGACCCGCCATAGAACAGCTTTTTGGTCGCTCATGCAACATCTTGGTATTGTATAGTCTTTGGTATTGTATAGTCTTTGATATAAACAAAACGTCGAGAACCGACGGCGTTTGCATAATTTATAATCAACCTGCTTAAGATAAGGAAATAAATGTGTAATTATATTATTGTAATATTTTATATTTTGTGGTATAAATCAAACAAATAACAGCTTTTATTTTGTTTCCCGCGCCCTAGTGTACCATACCCCCACCCCCTGCCCATTCTTCATTTATTTTGTGGCGGTAGGTCAGTCCATCAAAAGACCCGAAACAAGAACCAAACTCAAATTTCAGTTCTAGCGGCCAGCAATAGTAAACACACACACGCAAAGTACGTGAGAATGCATGTGCACCCATACACTAAAACATGCTGGTGGCAAAACAGATCAGACCTGAGAGAGTTCAAAAAATCTGAAAAAACATACAATCACATACTTTTTGTCGAAACATATTGCGTGTGTACTAACACATGCAAAGATGTTCTCTCTGCGCTCTCTATCTCATGATGACGTCACTCTGGGGTACGGATAGCGCAAGCCGGTGTGTGACACTTTCGTTGTATGAACTGGCACATCTATATGCTGTATGGTTAGTGGTAAGGACCTCTATTACCCGATTGACAGCAATGAGTCCCATTGCGGAAATGTGTGTCATTCCAGGCTCTAATTAATGCAGAAACTAGATAGTCTCTGTTTTAAACGATATTTTGCAGCACATCGTCTGTCTGCAGAGACCAAGAACTTGTACTGGGATCAGTATATATGTACATATAGACAAGAAACTAATCAAATGCATGAATAGGCCAACAAAATTCAATCTAAGACATGGTCTTTATTAATTACGTTTGACAGCAGCTTGCAGTATAAGCTATAAAGCTGCAACTTTATATAATATTTACGAAATAGGGTATACAAATGCCCATACTCTGGTTGACACGAAATGAATCTGCAAATACCGGCAATATTGACGTCACAACATTGCGACTGTTTGTTTTGTTGAACATTTTTGTTGACACCGTTTTTTTGTCACAATAAAATACATGCGAGTACTTAGAAGTAGTTAATCTTGTACAAAATTGATTCAGCAAGCATATAAAATTATGTGGGCAAAGCTAAGAGATCTATATAGTTAGTAATATTACACGGAATATCAAAAACGAGGAATATATATAATAGAACTTGAATTAGTCAGTATATTTATGGTATATTTTGAAAATTAGACGGTATATTTCGATATATCTTATCGATATTCCGCGATAAATCGATAATATAATAAATCTTGTGATATGTACAATTCAAGTCCAAACATACAATACAGGCGTGAGTAGGAAACAATAACAACATCCAAGTGCCGAGTAGGTGGAAGACCCACCCCAAGGATTTCTGAAGCAGTGCAGCGCGTGCAGAGAACTCCACCTTGAAACTTTGTTTACGCACAATGTTTCTGTTAGGGTGGGGGGGAGTGAGGCGTTGGGTGGCCACTCAGTCAGGTGGTGCCTTGTGTCTGCGCATTATATAATAAAAACTCTAATATTACAAATGTGTGAATGTCGCTGGAAGATAAGATAGCCCCTGGGATTACGCAAAACTCCCGCCGCACGTCCTCCTTGGCCTTGCCCACTGACCAAAGGTTGGGGCCGCGTTTACCCCAAAAAAAGATTCAATCTGTCACGGCGCGACCTTGAGGCCTTTGCAATGATTTTCGTGCGTATGCGTTCGAGTTGCGTCAACACTGAGATGTTGTTTTGTTCTTTACAGATACACACACACACACACGAGAGCAGAGCGGAAACAAAGAGAGAATAGCTAGGGAACTAAGTGAATAATAGTCGTCATGCTGGTTGAATGCCCCCGCCGTCAATGCCCGAGGATGCTCTGAACAGTGCTGAGCCTAGAAGAAAGCGTTACATCCGCATCGGCATCACTCACATACTTGCCCCGCATGCAAGCGTATTACTACGGACGCACAGTGTCCGACAGGTAACACCATGGCGGAAACGAATACACGGCTCACTGTGCCGTCCGGTGGCGCCGGCGGCACGACGAGTGGGGTGGACGGATCTCCCTACATACGTACAATCGAATGGAACATGATGAACAAAACCAAGTTCTTTCCGCTCTCCATGCTCAGCTCGTTCTCGGTGCGCTGCTGTCTGTTCCCGCTGACCGTTATCAAGACGCAGCTCCAGGTGCAGCACAAGAGCGATGTCTACAAGGGCATGGTGGATTGTGCCATGAAAATCTACCGCTCCGAGGGTGTTCCTGGACTGTATCGAGGCTTCTGGATATCGTCGGTGCAAATTGTGTCGGGCGTCTTCTACATCAGCACCTACGAAGGCGTGCGACACCTTCTCACCGACCTGGGTGCCGGGCACCGTGTAAAAGCTTTAGCCGGAGGCGGATGCGCCTCGCTGGTGGGTCAGACCATCATAGTTCCTTTCGATGTTATATCACAGCATGCCATGGTTCTGGGCATGTCGGCGCATGCCGGAGCCAAGGTAGATATTAATCCGTTGGGTATTAAATCATGGCCCGGCCGCAGCCGCCTCCATATCTCCATGGACATCGGACGGGAGATAATGCGTCGCGATGGTCTGCGCGGCTTCTACAGAGGCTATGTGGCCAGCCTCATGGCCTATGTACCCAATTCGGCAATGTGGTGGGCCTTCTATCATCTATATCAGGGTGAGTCAGGCCCCAAAGTGCCTCCATTAGCCAGATAAGATTAATTCAATTTGGATTGCTCTTCATTCCAGACGAACTCTGTCGCATCTGCCCCGTTTGGGTATCCCATTTGTTCATACAATGCGTGGCCGGCAGTCTGGGTGGCTTCACAACGACAATACTAACAAATCCATTAGACATAGTGCGCGCCCGTCTGCAGGTGAGTCTACCGTCCACTCCACCTCCAGAGTCATAAATAGAATATCTTATCTAAATCATAATGTTGTCGTCACTCCTGTCTAGGTCCATCGATTGGACTCGATGAGCCTTGCCTTCCGAGAGCTGTGGCGGGAGGAGAAATTGAACTGTTTCTTCAAGGGCCTGTCCGCCCGCCTGGTGCAGTCGGCGGCCTTCTCCTTTAGCATTATCCTTGGCTATGAGACCATCAAACGCATAGCCATAGATGAGCAGTACAAACACCAGATACGATGGTAATGAATTGCGCACAAGACCCTCAAACCAAGCCCAAACCCAAAACGGAAACCAACTCAAAATTGCATTTACGCGACGTACTGAAAAACCACCAGAGGTGATTCGCCTACGTTTGTAAATACCAATGAAGGAGAAGAGCACAGGTTAACTAGTTAAATTTGCTAACGATAGGATAGCAGAATGTGGATACCGTATACCGGATAACGGATACCGTATACCGGTTATATTCACGATGTACTTTTAGTAGAATGTTTTAATTTGCTTGCGGCTAGGATGTTCAAATACTGCAATTTCATATTCAAATACCCCAAAGTGTTGTAGCATAAAGTGTAAATTATGTTGTTATACTGCTTAGTCATTTTTTTATACCTAACGACTAGAGGCAGATAGATCGGTGACAAGCCTAATTTATTATATAGCAAATATACATAGAAATTGTAATTGTACTTTGATGATGATGTTGATAATAATACCATTTACAATGGTAACCAAATTACTTATACTTGTACACTACTTGCGCACAGCAGAGCAATGTTTGCGCCAAAATCATATTACTATACTATATATTATATTGTACTGTTTAGGTATTGTATACTGGACATGCCGAAATAAGAAATTAATGTCGAAACAGGGCAACACCGGGGTGTGGCAGCACACGTCCCTGGGGAAACAAACACCTACTTATACATAGTTAAGCATTCGTGTGTCTGTGTGTTCTCTGAATGAATAGTTTTAGTTTTAGTTTGCATATATTGTAATAAAGTACAAACCAAGAATTGTTACATTTTTGGCACTGTGAATACGACATTGAAATCCATCTCCATGTGCTGTAAGTGAGGAGAAGAGTTCTAGAGGGGTTCCATCCATCTGCCTTGACCTGCTTCCGACTCTTCCTTGGCTAGGTTTACCGGATTATCACTTCTTTCATAATAGATTCTTCACTTTATTTTGATTCAACGACTAATGAAATGAATGATGGTTGCACTTTATTTCGTGATTTTATAATTTAAATAAGTTAATAAATGTTAAGTAATCTAGGGCTTATTTGGCATTACTAGTTGCTCTCAGATGCTGCCACAGTGGTTGACTCTCCTCCCTCCTCTTCTCCCGCGCCACTAGCCCCCGCCTGCTCCGTTGTGATGTCTGTTTCTGTTGCTGTCTGCGGTGTGTCCGTTTTTGTGGTTGAAGACGGCGCTGTTTCCGGGATTGCTTTCAGATCTTGTTTCTTCCATCCATTGTTAAAAAAACGTATGGGAGTGGGAACCTCTCCGGTAGGCGCCACATCCAAGCTAAGGGTCGGCGGTTGAGGCAACGGCGGCTCTTCACTGGCCTTGTTATAGATGACCCAGTTATCGGGTCTGTCAGGCTTGGTTAGGACTGTGATCGGGGCAAAGGCCACACTGGCCAGCTGCTTGAGCCTCTGAGCTTTCTGCAGCGCGCCATTGGCAGTTCCAGTACCAGTTCCAGTCCCAGTCTTGTCGTCGTCATAGTCGTCCGCCTCGTCGGCTAGAATGTCATTGCCCAACTGCTTGCCCAGGCTGTCCGGGAAAACGGTCACCTTGCTGTTGGTTATGCTCCGCGTGGAGGTGGACAGCATGGGTTTGGGAATCTCCGTCACATAGTGGCTCTGAGTCTTGTTCTCCAGCATGTGCAGTACGTAGTTGTCGTCCAGTGCTGTGGCGTTCGTTGTAGTTCTGTTGTTGTCTGTGGCGTCCAGCGTCAGTTGTGGTCTCAAGTAGCCGTCCTTGTCGTATTTCTTGGTCGACATCCCAGTGCTGTCTGTTTTGTCCAGGTCGTTGCTGGGCTCATCCTCGTCGTATACGTAATCGTCGTCGTTGTCGTTGTCGTTGTCGTCTTGTGTGCTCTCGTCCTTGGTAATATTAGAGAGAGTGCGGCTTGCATAGTCGTAGTCTTGTAGGTACAATTTGTTCTCGGTTTTGATTAGGTCGTTGTCATTGCTATGGTTATGTTTGATGCTGTCTGGGCCTGCTTCCTTCAGTTCCGGCGTCCGTCCGTAAAAAGTCTGTGTGTGCGTAAGCGTCTGTGGTCTGTGACCGGAACTGGAGCTGGAAAACGGACTCGTATTACTGTTGGAGCTAAGCTCACGATCGTAATACAGCTCGCTCTGACCTGGCTGATAGTCTGGCCTATAAGGCGACTGTCCAGTCAAGCCGTAGCCCCCGCCACTCTGACTTTGCGGACGTGGATAAGAGCTAAACACCGGACTGACCTCGGGACTGGGACGTGGTCGTATGTTAAAGCTAAATGTGCTGTCGGCTCCATTGGCACTGGCCACCCCCGAGATGCTCCCAAAGTTGCCCGCACTCACGGCGCTGCTGGAGGCATGTATATAGCCCGAATGTGGGCTTCCGCCTATCTGGGAGCTGGTGGACACAGGATACGACTGATGATTGGCGCCTATCTGGGAGCCGGTGGAGACGGGATACGAGTGAACCGAAGACGGTCTAGGAGGGTACGCTGGACCCGCAATGATGTGGGAGGTTCCCACACTCAGGGGACTGTTAACCACCGTGTTCTCGTAGTGGGGCCGCTCCTTGTGGGGCTGGGAGATCGGAGTCGGTGACGTGGGAGAGGGATGTCGATTGCCCAGCGGATTGAAGCCGCTGGTGGCAAAGGTCAGAAAGTTCTGGAATATGTTCGGTGCTCGAGTAGTGGTCTGTCGTCTGTCGTCACTGTCGTTCAGGTAAATAATCGTCGGTGGCTTCGTCCTATGCGACTGTGTGCTGAGCTCCTGGGCCTGCGGCTGAAAGTAGCCGTAGCTGGGAATGGGCGTGGTGCTGGCGTACTCCCCGTAGTGTGGGTCGTAGTTGTGGTTCGTGTTGTACGGTTTGTAGACAGTCGTGTACTCGGCATAGTCCGCCGTAGAAGAGGGTCGAGTCTGTGGACTTTTGTTCGTCTGTCGTATGTTAATCTCGATCTCGTACTGGTCGGCGTTCGGTCCGTTGACGACCACCTTCTGGGGTCTCGTATAGATCGGTCTGCTCTGGTACTGTCTCAGTTCAACTCCGCGTTTCGTGGTCTTGTTCGTCTTTGGCGCCTTGGTCAGTAGTGTCGATCGTCCCAGGCTGGCTGTGGTGGCAGTGGTCTCGGTTGTGGTTCGATTGCGTTGTACGTGCAGCAGTCGAAAGTCAGCTGTCTTGTCCTGTGATTTTGTCCCCTGTGCAAGTTTCCTTGAGACACGCTTCGGGGCCTTCATGTCGTCTGTTTTTTGTCTTAGTGGGTCAATGGAGGTGTCTACGTGGTCTTTTTGAGCAGTTGTCACGTTTGTCAGTGGCTGTCGGTCTGCGTCTTTTAGGTCGGTTTTATCCGGATTCAGTGGTTCAGTACTCCGTAGCTCTGGCAGTTCTACTACGTCCTCGTCTACGTTCACGTCCACGTCCACGTCCACGTCCTGGTCCCCGTCTTCGGTCTCTGTTACTGCATCCGAACCGGTTGCATTCCCGCCCGCGGCATGCCTGAGCTCGATGGGGACATTATTGATGATCACCCTGCGCTTGAGACCCGTACCCTGGTCTGGTCTTCGCACGTTCACGTTCTTGATGTTCAGTGTTATTTTGGGGGACTTGTCCAGTTTGTTGTTTACCCCGCTGCCTGTCTTTCGGGTTGGCGTCACCCTACGATTGTTATTGTTGTTGTTGGTCGTCACTGTCTTGCGTTTCAGGTCGAGTTTGTCGCTTAGTTTTGTGATGTTGCCACTGCTGGGGCGATGGAAGCCACTGGCCGAATTGGCACTGACCTCCACCTGAGGCCTGACTGGCTTCACGCGATTGGAGAAGCCAGCCTTCTCCTCCTTGATGATCTGTAGGGAGCCCAGCTCTGGCTGTCCGATAGTGAACACCTGATCAGGCTGCTGTTGATGTCCCCCAGCCTCAAACGGATCCTGCTCCAGCCAGGGGCTCAGATCGATGGGTGCCAGGCTGCCCACTCCACAGCTCTGACGCTCGTTGTCCGTGAACTCTGCGGGTATGAAGATGTGCGGCTGGAGGGTACCTCCGCCCACTGTCCGGCAGAGGACCTGCGCCAGGGACACCCGTCGCAGCGAGTGCAGCTGGGCGGGCGTAAATGAGCTCTCGAAGCCTCCGTTCTCATACCAGAATCGATCGCCCCGCCGGGAGTTGCTGAATTGCTGGGCAATGATGCAGGCAAAGGTTGGACCGACCAGGCCACCCACCACCGGACGTTCCGCGATGCCGCCCACAAATAGATCGATATCGTGGACGCTGCGGTAGGCGTGGCCAATACGCTTGGCCGACTCCGGTCCGACTACGTTGGCTATGGGTAAAGGAAGTTGATTGATGAATCTCTGAAAGATTGAAGGGGGAAATGAGAGCGGGAATAATTACCAAAATCATCCCAGCTGTGGATGGGAGTGAGGCCACAAGGCACTCGCCAGGCACTATACGGGGCTATGCCATGATCCCTGCCCCTCTGTATGTTGATGGCAGCCAGGTCCAGGCCAAAGGGAAAGCCGGCCGTCTGGAACAAATGATTGGTCAGCTCCGGGGTAATGAATTCGTCCCGCTTGAGGGCACGCTGGGAGGCTAAGCCTCTGAGCAGGCGATGCAGGGAGCCCGCCGAACCAATGTCTCCTCGCTGGAACTCCTCATGGAGGCTGACATCTGGATTAGGAGGCAAAAATAAGTTGGGAACATTCAAAGGATACCAGAGGATGACTCACTGTTATTGATCACATTGTGATGGCGATCGCATCTCGTGTAGGAGTTCTGGACCAGGGAGTGTCCAAATCGGAAGGCAGCTGCGGCAAAGGCATTGGCAACCGTGGGATTGACCTTGGTGCTGTAGCGCTCGTAGTAGCCCGTCGAGAGGAGGTCCAGGTCGAAGAGACGGCACACCTCGCGGCCCAGGACGACGGGCAGAAACTCGCGGTAGGTGATGTGCTGGAACATGGCGCCCACAAGTCGCCGCGTCTCCTGGTAGACCTTCTCGTCGCTCCAGTGCGGATTCATCTCGCTCAGCTCCAGGGCAATACGGTTGTGCTCGCCCACCCAAACATGGTGCATGGCCAGAAGGCCGGGCTGCTCTCCGCTTCGGCCATCCCCGGAACGGATGCACTTGGTGGCTATGGCTCCACGCTGACAGACATCCTCGGCGGGATCTCCGCGTCCGTAGATGAGCAGGCCGTGGCGGAACACTCGTCCATTGTCCGAGGACTTGGCACTGTTCGAGTAGATGGGCGAGGCGTCTATGTAGGACGTGACCTGGTTGGTCTGCTCCCGCCAGGACAGGACACAGTCGCGTCGCTGGGCCGGAGCCGAACGCAGGAACTCGAGGCAGCGCACCTTGAGTGGGGCCAGCCAGGGATCGTCCAGGGGCACCTTGATGGGGAAGCAGGCGGGATGGAAGTCCTTGCCGCCACAGCAGCTGGGAATCGAGCCATTGATGGAGCTGCCAAGAGAGCACCGAAAATCTTAGAAAGCTGTGAAAGACTAACAATAGTTTGGCTTACCGTGGCTGAGCCGTGGAGGTCATGTCGTGGTCGAGCATCTGCCCCCACTGGGCTATCATCAGGGTCAAGGGTGCCTCGCCCTCCCTTGCTCCATGGACCAGCAGACTCACGAACCGGGAGGAGGATAGCGGGCTTCCATCCGTGGAACTGCGGACAGTGTCCACACCATCGCCGTACTCTGGCGGCAGGAACCGATTGAAGGGCATCTGGGCGGTGCCCCAGCGCGGTCTGCGCTTGTTGTTGCAGGTGCCATCGTGGGTGCGATACCGCTCCGAGGCGGGCATGCAGGGCGGTGGATCTCGGGGCGGACAG